CAGATTTAAATATCTCTTCCGGATCAATATCCTCTTAAAAAAGAATCTCCTTCAATACAAAGCAATATTCGGAGTGCGATGAATGATATTGTTACCCATAATCTCCGCCTAATAACCGGCGATTGGCGAGACTATCGGCGATCAACTCCCAGAATCCAGAACCCCCCGAATGACGCAGCCCTATCTGAACCTTAGCTTCTGATTATCCCTGAACCCTAGACCCTGTGTTCACGCCTCCATGACGCTATGGTTTTTCTAGCAATTGTCGGGCAATTTTTAAATCTCATTTAGATCTCGTTTGGGATCGGTAATCATGGCATCAATCTCCGGTCTGCCAGTTCTCCATGTCCCTTCAACCCAACCTGGCCTTATATCTGAAAAAAACAAGAACCTCTTCATTCCGCAGCATGATATCGTTTGATGTTCGGCCCCGATCTCGCTACCGAGAGAGAGAGAGAGCGACACCCCAACCCAAAATACCGCACATCCAAAGGAACTCCTCTCGTGCGTAGATAAAAGCGGTTGCTCATGCAGATTTCCCCTCCCTTGACTAACATACGAGAAGCGGATGATACATTATGGATCCACAGTCAATTCACGCAAGTAACACGAAACCACAATGCTTGGCCCACCCACATGAACTCCGGTTTTTTGTTTCTGCTCATCAGCTGCTTTCCAAGAACTTTCGTAGGGCCTGGGAGCCAACAAGCGCCGTTGATACTGTGCAGATCATGTAGCTACGGCTACGGCAAACATGAGTCCAGACAATGTGCAAACAACGTGGGCGGGTTCGGGGCTCGAGCGCGAAGTGGAACTGCCGCGTCACTGATTCTATGAGCCGAGCAGCCTAGCACCTGAATCCCTAAACCTGCTGTGGGACTCCCAGCCCTTAAACTGTAAGCGCTGTTGCCCCCTGAATTTGACTCCCTCAGCTGCCTCATAGGCTTCAGCCACCTCGCGGAAGACTTTTGAGGTTTCCTCGGCCTGAGTGAGCGGTTGGCGCTTCGAGCCTCTCTTCGCTGCGCAATCTGAGGGCCATCTGCCAGGATGCTGAAGAGGCACGGCTGACGAGCGTGGGGCTTTGATGGGGGGACTCAGGCTACGAGTTCATTTGTCCGATGCAGAGTCGAATGCAGCTGTAGCCTGGCAAACAAGAAGAAACGAAGATTGGTCCAATATGGTCTGAGGTGGGGACTTTCTCCAGGTTCTTGTCCTCCACAACAATGCAATTTACCACTGCAATGTGCAGCTAGTGGCTGCATGGGCTTTTGGTATGCTTCACTTCTATCATTCCATACCCCACTGTGATGCAAGCCTTCAACTGCAGGTTTATGTTTTCGGGCTTTCAGTGGTTGGGTGACCTGTGCTGTAAAACAACACCCGACAGCCAGCAGCTACCAATTCTCCCAAAACTTGCAGACCAGGCGCTGGATGGTACTTCAGAGCCAACTTCCGATAGGCCTGGGCAAGGCGTGGCAAGGCGTGCTTCTGATGCACAGCCGATGCGGCCGTCTGCGCCGAACATTTCGAGATGCCTCTGCCTACTGTAGGGTGGGATGAGAAGACGGAAAGCAATGCACGCAAGTGATGCGCTGGTTTGTTTCGGTGGGGGTTCGCGCGAATCGCAGAGTCGGTCTGTTCGGATTGATGGACAGTGTGGGCGCGTGTCTGATAAATCGCTCGCTTCAGCTGGGACACAGTCCTTGACTTGTACTCACCCCCAAGACATGCAAAGCGGCAAGATCTGCATGTGTGGCTTGCTGCAACATCTTCAGTGGCCCCCGATGAAGTTCGCGCTTGACGCGATGTGTTGACATGCAGCCCACCAGTCGATAGCAACAAGTCCGGTCACTGAAAACTGCATGGTGCGCATCACGCACGCCACCACAATCCCATGAGTGTAGCCTTCCGGACGTCGTCCAGGGTCGCCGTGTTGGGCCTGACGGCCAGTACATGAGATGGCAAAAGACCCCATGCAGCTCTGACAGTCTGCTGCTGCAGTCGTGTGTGTCTGCGATGCTGAGGCCGGGGCAGCTTCAGAGTGCGGAAATGCTTGGTCAGCGCTTGACGTGGATTCTGCAGTGCGGGACGGCTTCCGGGAACGAGACATGGTAGGAGTACTATGGTGTCCAGTCTAAGGCATTAAACTTCATCAAGAATGAGCTGACAACAGCAAAGCCGCCAGAGAGCGAACGCATGTAAGCAATTGGATTTCGGAGATGCTTCATCCGGTAGAGACGTTGCAGCCCTGAAGCCCTCCGGTTGCATGCTGCTGAACAACCTCTCGCGGGCCTAAACAGTGCTCCAATTTCAAGCCCTAGACCCTCGCAGCAAACGGCTCCGAATCGCAGCTGTCTCCGAGGACCAAGCTGGGGCTGCGAAGCTGAAGGGGTCACTCCTCAGTTAAGCGACGCTGCAGGGTTTAGGGTTTAGGGTTTGGGGTTTAGGGTTTTCGGACCTCTCAGTTGACGACCAGACTTTGAGTTGACGATATGATGCCCATTTGGAGAGGCAGATCGCCTTCTGCGCACATGTGCCGTGCAAGGGCGGTTTGACTTTGCCAAATCTTGAGATCTTGGGCTGATGCTGTTGCTCAGCAGCCTCTTTATCCTAAATTTTGGGATACAGTAGATTCGCGGGATGCCTGGTTGTGGAGTTGCTGTTCGTTTCTCCCATACCGCGATCCCATTCGAAATGCATCCGCTTGGGATGCAGAAGGCTTTTGGGAGCCTGGCCCAAAGCCATGGCTGCCAGGGAAGTAGTTGGAGCGGTCAAAAAACTGCCTGTGCAGGCCAGGGAAACTCAGGGAGAACTTCTAAAGCCTGTGCTCAGGCGTTTCAGCTGCTGCTCTTTGCCAGAAGGATGGAACATGACATCGTCATGCCAGCCACCCAACTCTCAAAGAAGTATGCAGCGAGCTAGCACTGCAAATGGCTGAGGACTTGCCACATGACTGCTCATTTCCTTAAGCATTGGCATTCAAGCATACGCCTTACTCTTATTTATCCTCGCTCCCCAACGCCGCAAACTATGTGCCTTGGCCCGCGTGGCACGTCCTGCAATGGGAAGGAGGGATTTCAGCCATCGGGATTATTGACAAGCTGGGTGCGCAGCCTCCACTTCGACATTAGCGGTTTAAAGTTTTCGGTTTAGAGTTTAGGGTTAGTGTTTAAGGTTGGACGTCTTCGCAACGGTAAGGCCCAAATCCCGACGACCCCAAAACCCACTGAAGCAGCTGGTCCACTCTCGAGCTTGGACTCTAAGCCGACACCCATACCACACAAAAGGCAAAAGCATGAAAGAGCTCTGCAAGCCTAATCAGAACCTGCATAACTGCATAACCTCACATGGACGGACACAAGTCCAGGACTTGAGATGCAAAGCAGGGATGAGGTCTGGGGTTGAAGCATGCGGGGTTTAGTATATTTCTGGATGCTTTCCGACAGTGCGGTAATGCGGCTGCCGTCTGCGATAAACGGGTCTTTGCATCGGCTTTCTTGCGCCACCAAGTTGCATGTCCATGAACCCTTAACCCCTCCAACCTGTTTAGGGTTTAGGGTTTAGGGTTCAAGGTTTAGGGTTCAGGGTTCATCTTTATGAGGCCCTAGGCCCTATTATGCCCTCGACGAATCCCATCCGACCGCCCATGTTCTCGACATCCTTCTTCGGAGGTGGTGGTGGCGGCATCTGCGGTCCCCAGGCCTTAGCATCCATTGAATTCTTGCGTGTGAGGGGTGTCAAGGGGTGCCAGTGTGTCTACCTTCTCATGGATTTCTTAAGGCTCTGGGTTTTGGTCATGCCCGCAATGAATCTCAAGGCGCATTCCTGCTTTCACACGTCAAAGCCTCTGAAGCTTGCAAACACTTTGCTTGGGTTGCTGAGCAGCATTTGGCAGGCGGGGCAGTTGGACAAAAGTCCGCGAACCTGCGCCCTTTTCGAGCCAAACAGGTCCTGAACCCTGGACCCTAAACCCCGCAATTCTTGGCAGGGTCCGGACTGAGGAGATCAGCCGCTGGAAAAGCTCCTCACGCTCCTGCACGACGTGGAACGTCTGATTTTGGATGATGGTTGGTCGGGCCAACAGGCTTCTTTCTTGGTAATTGAAGAAGCTAAGTAGCCGGAGGGCTGGAGCTGCAACAGACCTTTCCAACGACCTCATTCTCCGATCCTGTGTCCCTGATTACACTCCCTTCAGCACTTCTCTCTTTTCCCAATGCTCTATACACCCAGACACCCAGAAATCGGTTGGCCCTAGTGGGCAGTGAATGCAAACCCGCGCCTCAGAACTGGTGGACACCCGCAGCTCCTCTCTGCTCGTGAGGAAAGGAAATCGGTGGGGTTTTCTTGGTCGGGAATCGGGTAGGTAAGTTCCCTCTCTATGATCCCTTCAGGGCTAATCGTAGGGAATGACGCCGTTAGGCTCCACATAGACTTCGGCGACTTTTGAAAAAGTCGCGGTTTGTTGCCTCCCACCCAGCTGAACTGCCGGCCACTTTCGCCAGTTAAGGTTGAGGGCTTATCGAATGGAGCCAGGCTTCACCGATGCTTCTGTTTAGGGTTTAGGATGTTTAGGGTTTAGGGTTTAGGGTTTAGGGTTGTTTCAAGTGTGGCCGCGGATGACGCTGCGCGTCCTGGCAGTCTTTGCGCAGCTCGTGAACAGGCAAAACCTCGGAGTTCGCAGAATGTTGGGAAGGAAGGACCACCAAACAGTGAATAATCAAAAACGGATGGGCTCTCAATCGAGGTATTCTGCTGCCCAATGCACCGGAAGTCCATCAGCAAGATGTATCGCAGGAGAACGGCAAAGGGAAAGCGCCTCTAACCCAAGAACCCTAGTTCAACTGCACAATTTTCTGCATATTCATGAGCCTCTCATTTCCATGTAGTATGCTTGTGCGCCGCCCTGCTGCGAGATATTATGCTTTGCTATCCTTGCTTTTCAGCAAGTTGAAACCCAAAACATGTCAACGTTTACAAGCCAAAGCATACTGCCCTATTGCAAACCCTACTCGTAAACACTACAACGAGACCCGAACTTGGAATTTCCTGCCCTTTCAAGATTGTTCTGCAGTTCTGCGAATCATCTTAAACCCTTCAACCCTTATAAGCCCCGAAACCCTCACGACATCTCAGCTTGGCGCCCGCCACGCCGCCACGCGCTGCAGGCGCTGCAGCAGTTCGCGGCGCTTCGTCGGGGCCTCCACCTCAAGGATTCGGTTGCGTAGTGGCCAAGAGATTCAAGAGATCCTTGGAGAGTCTAGGGTTTTTGGAACTCAAGTTCAGGACCGTGCTGGATGGTCTGCATGGAGCTTTCGAGATCTGCGCTTAGCTCTGTTGGATGGATTTGGAGGCATTCCCCACATGCCCACCTGCGTGGGAATCTCAAGACGCTTGTACTCGTCTGCGAGGGTGCGGTCGTCCGCAGCTTGCAGGCGAGTGAACTCTTTCGCCTGTCATGAAGAAGGGGTTCCAACTCGCAACACCGCCCGGCCACTGTACTCTGAGCTACGTCCAGCTTTCCTGGACTGCCATTCTGGCCTAGGCTTCGGAAAGCCCACTTGGGATGCCCTGTGCCGGGGCAAAGAAAACATGGCCAGCTGCACCAACTCAGCTGCGCTCTGGATGGTCGGCAGCCTGGCCCCAAGCACCAGCTACGTGTTGCTTCGCACCCCAGTGCGTGAGCGTGTTGTGGCACAAGGGTTGCCAATCAATGCCGGCAGCTTCGGTTCAGGATGCGATTCCCAAAACTCTGGATGCAATGAGGGCTGAAAACAGGTCTGCAGTGGCGCTTCGGATGTGAAAGAGACACGGAAACGCGAAATCCTTCCAAAAACAACTCAACAAATGCGAGCACCAAAGTACTGTAGCAGGAGAGGCTGAGCAAGTTGGACCAAAGCCTGTGCTTAATCACCGAACCTCCTGAGCTGTAAGTAGCAACTCGGGTCTCCCTAAATCAAGACGATTAACCCAGGCACAATAAGCCATGTCCAGCCCACAGCTTCTGGCAACCATCCCAAGTAAGACGACATAATATATAAGATGATATAGTATAACATAAAATAATGTAATATTAGACTAGAAACACGTTACAATATACAGTTTGTATAGCGGTATAAAAATATTTCCACGATGATGATGAAATAATGCATTTATATGATAGCATAATACTTTCATATAACAATGTAACATTGTCACCACATACTACTCATCTACTAATATCAAAAATAAAATATGAAAATGCACAAATGAACATAGCAACAACCTACTAATATATCAATCTCATAATCATCTCATAATTTAACCATATACCCCACAAAGGCGCCCACATTACAGATGTTCCCAGACTTTGCTGCGCTGCAGGCTCGAGATCACAGAACCAAAGTGTCGCGCCCGGCTTGAAAAATAACTTTACGGTTTGGGTTTTAGCTGGATTGCGGGCTCAGGCCAAGTTACCTAGGCACACTAACTAAAAGGTTGATCTATGGGACTGGACTCCATAGAATTTCTATGGCTGCCACAAATGGCTACGAAGTTGAGGGGTGCTTCCTCGACAACTAAGGACCTCTTCAACGGCAGGCCCTTCGTTTGCCACAGATCCGCGCAGTTGGCCTTGGAAACAGGAAGATTCTCCGACTGCAGTTTCGACTCCAAGCATCTTTGGACAACGAGTCTCGTAGGTGTGCGATGGGCTGTCAACATTATATCACTGTGGCATTTGCCTCTGAGCGGGCTTCCGGGCTGTACTTGAGATTTCGGATAGTTTTACCCTTGTAATCTTGTTTTGCCAAGACCACCGCGGATGTCCCTCATGCCCGGATCACCCGTGGCCCATACATCCTACTCAGCTTCACCTGAAGCTCTCTGAGCTCCGATGCGAGGATGAGCCTCTCCAGCAGCTCTTTCGGCTGATCCTCCTCGCTGCCTGGGCGCACGTGGGAAAGCGGGGAGGCTCGAGGAAGCCGGGGATCTTCAGGGTTCTGGCAGAAGGCTTCTTGCCTGAGAGGTTGGGGCTGTTCAGCAACCTGCTGGCTCGGCTTCGAGGGCATTATTATGATCCTGCGCAGAACCGTTTGTGCAATCGAAGGATTAGAACCGCAAGCATGAGCCGGGACTCGTTCGGGGGAACTGGACCGTGATTTCCGTTTCTAGCGCCAGTGGCTCACTGCTACCTCTGGTGCCTAGCTCCAAGCCCAGGTAGGCGAGGTGCAGTTGCACACGTTCCTTGTCTAATGTTCTTAAAAATAAGCAGTGCCAGCGTCGGCCTCATGCCGCGTCGGAAACTACAGAGGACACGTAGCTCAAAGTGCGACAGGAAAGGTGACAGGCACGATCCTGTCATGGCGGAACTTGTTCATGCAGGTTTGCTGCTGGCCCAAGGAATGTACAGACCCTCTTCCGTCCCTTAAAAACCGGAAATCCGGTGAAGAGTGTTGTTCCCAGGGCACATCAAATCTTGGTAGCTGTTGTCAGAACACTGTCGAACTGCAGCTGGCATGGAGCACTGGGTCGACTTCGCTTGGCTTCTGTTGAAACCGCAATGGCAGCCTCAATGGCAGCCAGCTGCTCGGTGTTCTGCCCCGCAAGCAAGGCACCGGTTTGACCATGCCAGCCCCGGAAAGTCTGAAAGGTCTCGCGTGCATCATGCACCTCCCAACAAACAGGGACTCTTTGGCACTGGACGTTGCTAAACCCAAAGCGCTTGAGTGTGTCCTTGGTGGTTCTGGCTTGCGAAAAGCGGAAGAAAGGGGGGGCGGGAGGCAAAGACACATGCGGGTTGCCATGCGCCCAAACGGCATCGTGAATCAACTGAAGCACCTCTGTCAGAAAGGAGTAGCCCCAGACAGTGAAGCCCAAGCACCCACCAGGGCGCAGGACTCGGAATGCTTCCGCGAAAAATGCCTCTGGCTCTGCAAAGTGGGGAACACCAAAGCTGCAAACGACCACGTCAACCGACATGGCCTCCAAGGGCATCCTCGCTGCGTCGGCTTCGATGAACCGCACCGTGTGCGATGCCATCTCGGCAGAGACTCGTGCTTGAGCAAGGTCCAGCATGTTTTTGGAGAAGTCCAGGGCAGTTACAACAGCACCAGCCTTGGCTGCAGCCTCTGCCACATAACAGGGCCCTGCGGCAACGTCCACTAAGCTGCAACCTTGTTGACACTGCACAGCATTCAGAAGGGCACGGTCACATTGCCGCGTCAAAAAACCCCATGTTTTCTCGTAAGTCCGGGCTGTTTTCTGCCAGTGCTGGTGCTCACGCACAGTGAAGTCAGCCGTGGCGAATGCCATGCGAGAAGCCAGTGAACGCGCCATGGCTAGCCGAGGAGGGCTTTTTTTGCCGCTATTTTTTTGTGCTCGAATCGGCACCTGTGACCCGCCGGGGCGCAGCGCGTCGAGCCAACACATCAAACGTTACTACGATTTGCATTCAGATAGAAAGCAGACACGCCAACACACTCGTGCTGGGCGAGAATGTAATCTCGGGATAGCATTTGACCGAGCCCTTTGACTATGAAATAGCTCCGCCAGCTGAAAGGGAAAACCATACAGCTGCAACGCAAGATCGCCTCTTTGGCGGGGGTTTCGGGTTTAGGGGTATGGGGGGGAGGATTTTTGGGTCTAGGTTCAAAGGTCGGGCGGTGACCACCCCAGTAGGGGAGCGGCCTAAACAAGCCTTGCTGTCGAAAGAGAGGCTTCCAGCACGCCATAACTGTGGCGTACTGTGCCCTCTATGTTGGCTACAGCACTGGCAGCGCAAAATTTGAGCAACTACGCTGCTCAGGTTCTGTGAGCCTTGGCTAAGCTCAAAACCCTACAGTTAACAACAGTGTCCTGTAGTGTACGATTATGGTCAACATACGCATACCGTTGTAGACCAGACTTGACTCTAGTATACTAGAGTAGACTATGTCGAACCCTGAAGAACTAAAGGGGATGCTTCTCGTTGAAAGGCTCGTGTGGCAGCTGCTGCCCTTTCTACTTAGTGCACGGTGGTGTATTCTCGAATAGAACACAGTAGTAGACGGTCGTGTACGATAGTCTACTAATGCATTCTGTACTCATCTGACACAACCGTGGGCCATCATTGTAGATGACATTGTTACAGTCCACGACAGAACACTGCGTATGCTTTGCCGTGATTTGGAAAGTAAACAGACGTGATAAGACACAAACTAGCAAAGCATAAACGGGCACGTCAGTTTGAGCGGCGGGGCTGGTGCGGGGCAGGACGCGGTAGAAGCTCGTCGAAAAAACTTCATGATCTACAACTAGTCCGCGGACGCGCCGTCGGCTAAGGTCGGAAGCCCCCCAGCATCCACTTCTGTGCTTTCTGTGCTTTCCTCAGAGCCACTTTTGAGCGGAGCGCAGAGTGCAGTCTGTGAAAATCTTGGAGACAGCCCAGCAACGCTGAAACTGTTGCACAATTTCTCACACAAGAAAGAAAGGGGGCACCATAGACTAATATTCAAAATTATCCACAACGAAGCGCCCATAGAGTCCCAAGATCCTTCTCGTGCTTCTTGTAGAAGCCTGAATTGTGGCTTAAGGATGTTTAAGGTATATTCAGGTGATCTGCACACCATGATCCCTGTAGGATCTGGCTGTGGCAAGGCTCTTTGCAAAGCTTACAAGTGAAACTCTCAGCGAGGACATCCACCACTGGGCATCCACATGGGTTGGAGTCTTTTGCAGTATTTTAGTGTGTACGTACAGCTTTCTCTGCGAGAGTTCTACTCTACAGCATGCCATGTGCCGAACAAGGAAGCGCAGCATGTACTGTGGAGTAGACTAAACACGCAGTAGACCTGTGAACACACTCCACCCCTCTTGGAAGCATCGTGGCGAAACATCGACAGATAGAAGCAAGCCCTCGCTGGACGGAGCATCATGCGGGAATCTGCTGCGCAGTTCCCGGTTCATACTTTTGAGCTTTCATGTGCTCCACTGCCGTCTTCTGCGTCTTGTCCTTAAACCATGCCGTATCCTGAACTAAGCTGATGATGTAGACGATGCTGTCCAGCAGCGCGGCGACGCCGAGGAAGCACTTGGCCACCATGGCTGCACCAACGAAGCTTAGGTCAACGGAAATCCGGAAGTTCCAGTCGATGAAGAACCAGTTGCCCATGTCCAGGTACGCAAGGATCACGAGCAAGACCACAGGAGCCACGAGAGCAGCTGAGCAAAGCAAGGAGCAAGTATATGCTGACCCACAACTTCGATGTCCATTGCTTCCTTGGTCCACGCAGCAACATGCATAACACAGGAGGCAGCAAGTCGAGGGCACCACAACGAAGAAGCTGTAAAGCTGGATGAAGGCGTAGTCTGGGGGAGTCCTGATCAGCACCACCTTGTCAGCAGGCTCTGGCATCATGACGACAGAACCCATCGGACTGATCAGGTAGTTGGGCAGGATCGTCAAGAAGAAATACCTGCGGTACTGCCCACTGCTCACCCACACGAGTAGCAGTACAGCAGCCCTGTTTACGCCAAGAAAAGGCCATCACAGCTTACTTAGCGCAAAAGGTACATCCAAGTCTTCTGCAGGAAGGAGACGGAGCCTGGCAAGTCGGAAAACTTGGACCGCATGTCGCTGATAATGGCTCCGGCAGAGGCACAAACGAAGAAGCCGGCGAAGAACATGGAGGCAAAGAACCTGGACAGGATATATATATATATATATACATATATGTATACTAATAAAAAATAATAACAATAATACTAGTAATAATATAATGACAACAGTAATAGTAACAATAATAATGATAAAAGTATGAAAAACATATATGTATATATATATATATGTATATATATATATTAGGGAACCCCCCCCCCCCCCCCCCCCCCCCCCCCAAGATCTATTTACTTTTAGTGTTTTGGTCACTCCGCGTACCCAACCGGCAACGGTAGACAACCCAAGACACTACACATATATGGGTCTTTGGGAGAGGGGCTTGAAGATGCTACAGAACCCCTTGCCGGAGCATCTGCACTTTTGAATTCTTGACCCCAGGACCGATTTCAGCACCCGACCTGCTTAATCGGCCCTGGGTTCGAAGATTGAAGGTTGAAGATGCCCGGGATCTCTCCCAGAGCATCTTCAATCCTAAATCTTCAATCCTGGGCCGATTAAGCACATGAAGTGCTTCATCGGCAGGGGTCTGGGATTCAAGATGCTCGGGGAGAGTGCTTAAACGACCCTAAACCCTAAACCCTAAACCCTAAACCCTAAACCCTAAACCCTAAACCCTCCAAGGAGCTGTGCCATGAAGCCCAAGTCCAAGACCGAGTCTTGTGGGCAGAACTCGGACTCCACCCGACCACAGCCACAGCCGGAAGGCAGGCCCATCAAGTTCGGAAGGCAGTCCTCGCCCCTAAACCCTAAACCCTAAACCCTAAACCCCAAACCCTAAACCCTAAACCCTAACCCCTTTGGGGGACATCTTTTGGCCTCTGGGGCTTCGGCGCGCTTGGGGCCTTCAAGTGTCGCGTAAGGCTTTGGGAGTTGGGGCGCGCTGTCCTCGGTCCATCCCATCGCCTTCAGCAAAAACCTGAGGGTTTAGGGTTTAGGGTTTTAGGGTTTAGGGATTGAAAATTGTTTAGGGTTTGGGTTGAGGGGTTTAGGGTTTAGGGGTTCAGGGTTTCGGGTTTTAGGGTTTAGAGTTAGAGTGCACTACACAGCGTCCACCGTTTTGACGATCTGGTGTAGTACATCAAGAGGTCTCAAGAGAATAAAGCGCCACGCAAACCAACAAAAATAAGCTGTCGTTGAACCAAAGCCAGGAGCATGTTCTGCTGAAAGGTTGTGGAAACGTCTTCTGGCGCCATCCCGCAGAACGTCTGAGTGCCGGCGCTTGCTGACAACAAGTCCAAGCTGACCTCGACTCCATACTCCTCACCGGTCAAGAAGAAGCACGAGCCTGCTGTCAGCCGACCTCCCCAGTCGACCCTTCGGGCAAGTACATCTGGAGTCATGAACATGAGCATGAAGCCTGACCCCAAAATGCACATGCACAGGAGCAGGCGAAGAATCAGCGACAGCAGCTTCAAGAGGTGGATGAACTTCACGTTCTTGCAGCGGGCCCAGTCCTCCAAATCAAAGTCCTTGCTCTCCGCAGCCATTAAGCTGAAGGCGGCCTACCCTGCCCCGCTAGCTCGCTAGTCCGTCTTGAGACTTGATCCTGTGGCTGCACTCAAGAACAGAACAGAAATACTGCCCCAGCACCTTGACAACAATGTTTGTTTCGGAATCTGCACTCTGCTCAGGGCAGCAGAAGCCCGTTCTTGTGCCTGTTGTGACTATTGTGACCGGCCTGTCATCTAGATCGAAGCAGGATGCTTGTGGCTGGCTGCGGAATGATTCACAGGCAGCAGGTCGTTTATCTTGCTCGCCAACTGCAGAGAGCGATCTAGCTCATCGTATAGAGGCAGCTTCAACTTTCACCGAGTAGAAGACTTGTTGCTGCTGGGTTGTGGCTGCTGCTGGTGTTGTTAAAGCGCCCGCACGATTTCGCAGGCGTAGATCTAGTAAGAAACTATGCCAAAACTACGAGTATGCAGCATATGTGCGCTCACAGGCACTTTTCCAGATCCCAGTAGCGGTGCATGTTCAAGACTCACTAGATTGGCGGGAAAGAGATTGGCAGGAAAGAGTAGAACTAGACGTAAATAATGGGAACTGTTTGATTGACATATCTGGAGGTCCAGTATATCTCTCATGGGTGCGCCGAATGAGCTTCGGCGCTCGAAGTGGAAAGCAAGTTCGCCTCATTATCCATCGTCCAAAGCCAGCTGATATCATCATAGCTCACATAGGGAGCGATTCGCCGCTGATGTCACTTGGGAGAGCCGAGCACGATTAAGAACCTAGTCAAAAAGCCACCAAAATCATGAAATGTCTTTGGTATGTCTCTGACTGAAAGGCAACAATTTAAGACCATGATTCTGGACTGATTCTGCAAGTTCTACTGCGGGATTTACTGACTGATGTTTTAGTTAGGTCTGTTGATATCAGGATGCGGACATCGGGGTACAAGCATGTCAAGATGTGGGGAATCCCTTCTCACGCATGTTTGTCCTCAAGTCTGTCAGCGCAGATCTGCCAGGCGGCTTGGGGCTCGGGAAAAGAACCCCTAAACCCTAAACCCCCCAAACCCCGCAAAATCCTGCAATTTTGGCCCGCCCTCAACCAAACGTCCAACCTGAGGCGGCAGCCGACTAGGCCTCCGGCGGAGACCCCTTGGTCCTCTCACGGCAGCATAAGGCAACAGAAGCTGGGGAATCGTGCAGGGGGTCGTCTGGTGTGCGTGGCGAACGAATCTAGTTTTTGACAGTTGCTCTCTCCATATTCTCACTTCTCCATAAACCCCCTCCTCCACCCCTCCCACCAGCAAGGAGACTGTAGGACTCGACATGAAAAGCAAATCATGGGCAGGGTCAGCGAGCTTCCCAACCTTCTCGGTGTGCGTGTGTGCGTGCGGCAGGTGGCTGGACTACACGTGAGATGTGCTGGACATGACATGATATGTGCAAGGCCACGTGCGGCCGGCAACTTTTTCGACATGGACATGGGCTTGCCAGGGATACGCGACAGGTTTGAGTGAACGTAGCCTAGCTTCCTAGCTTCTACAAGAACCCTAAACCCTAAACTGAATATCATGAACCAGAGAGGAACCGCGTGCTTCATGAATCACTTGCCCAGCCAAGACCTCCTTTTCCCTGGCCAAGGCCTCCTTTTCCTCAAAACATGGACCTTCACTAACAAGAAAGCAACAAAGAGGCCAAACAAAACTCGTGTCTGACAGGGACTCTTTGCCGAAAAAGGCCAATGCGAATAGGGTTATTTCCTCGGTTGCCTGCGCGAGAGTGCTTGCGACCCAGCATGCATGAAACATCCCCGCACCGACCTTTTTTCATCCTGTAGTTGGGTCTTTTGGCCACCTGCTTGGCTCAACACAAACCGCAACTGTCAATGTGGACTGTAACGGTCTCTCGCCTAGCCGATCGCGTTCACCCGCTCACCCAAAGTAGCACTTGTCGTATGTTAGTAGCATGTCACTACTCTACTTGTCACAACGTTGAAATATTCGCTTTCCATTATTGCCATAGGTCACCTTATGCAGCAATTACAGCCATCCAAAGCAGAACAAGCAGCTCCATCCCCACCTCCCACAGGGCCTCAGAAAGTGAGGCACTCAATATGGCCTTGTATTCAAAAGGCCACTCATCGCTCACGAAAGGCTACTCACCCCAAACCTCATGGACGAAGCTAAAGGTTTAAAGCCTTTCAGCGGCAACACGGCACAAACTCCCTTGACCGTAAAGCACGACTGAAACCCAAAAGCCCTGTCCTGACACTCCTTGCGCAGCTCGTGGGCAGGAAGCTCACGCCACAGGGCCTTGTCTCTGGATGGACGGCAGCGCGCATCACTTCGATGATTCACGTACGGCTTGATCTAACTGTGCCCACTAGATGAAAACACGTTTGTCGTAGAAATCCCCGCATCGTGTTGTCGACCATCCAGGAAGAATCCCCTCCAAGCATGCTGCAAGCCCCGCCCCGGGGGATGCAACATGATGCAACAGCATCAACAGTTTCGAATTGAAGGCCAGCAGATTCAGAAACCATCGAGAAGTCATGAACACAACCCTTAAACAAACAAGAGCCCAACCTATGTACAAGAGCAGTTTGAACCACGTGTGCAGGGTCGCGGGCTCCTGCAAGTAAGGGGAACCTAGGTCAAAGCTTGCGTGCGAGGTGTTTCTTTCCCTCACGAGTCCAAAAATCCTGAGGTAGACCTACACCACAAACTTAGACTTAAATCCTTCCCTGCACTGAGCCGAAGACCACTTGCCGAAGCTGAGAGATCATCTCCTTTTGAATCAGGGTTTGGGGTTTGTTTTTGCCACGGGGTTTAGGGTCTAGGGTGGGGGGGGGTAAGCTTCAAACCGCAGCCCTCGAAGGGTTTTGGTGTCCAGGCCTTGTGCATGGCACAGGCAGGAGCTACTGCAGCAATCCAAGAGGGGTTTAGTGTTAGGGTTTCGTCCATCCGGGCGGCAGCATTTTCCGCCGTGTTCTGCTCAAGGAATGACTTAGCGGTTTGAGGTTTTAGGAATTGGGGCTTTCAAGGCTTTCAAGGCTTGAGGTTTCCTGGCTTTCGTTGGGTCCAGGTTCCGGGTTTAGTATGTCGTTGAGGTTCGACATTCTCACTCGCAAAGGCAGGCCAGGCTTCAGATATGTCTCGGGTCGGATGAATACATGAACCCACTGTATGGGTCTGGGGTTCTCGGACAAAGCGGGTTGCTTGGAAGTGTGGTGCAGTTTGTTGCGGTCTGTCGAATAACTTCCAAAACCTGTCACAAGCCCTATATAGCAGTCTCTGCCGGCCTATACGCCCTGAGCGTCCCTGAGCTTTGGGCTTCAGACTTTCATGTCCCTGCTTTTTTTTGGAGTTCAGCCTGAAAGGCTCATGGCTTTAGGATGTCTGGGAAGAACGGGCCGCGCCTCGAACGCCGGAGTCTTGCTCATCGCTGATCGTGGCAGTCCTGCCACACGGGATTATCCAGATCATGGCGACTGCCCAACAGCACTGTTTGTGTGTGCGCGTTCTGCTGCGGAGACCCAACAGTTTAGAGAACTGTGGTGCCCAAAGGCTCAAAGAAAGACGATCGCACGCACCCCAAGAGAGCCGGAAGCAACGCTGGAGTCGATTTCCACATGGGGTGCTGGTCATGTCTCTGCATACACCCCTGCGCTGCAAACGGGGACCCAGTCGCCCTAAACCCTGAAAATCCAATCCTTCAGCCCACGAATACCACTTTGGCAAGCCGTCCGCCCTCCAAAGACTCCCCAAAAGCCACTCACTTGCAGTCTACATATTAAAACACTGCAAGCTGCTGAGGCGGCAGGATGCCAGCCCTAGACAGCTGACACTGAACTCCGGAAAGCCGGTCCTAAGCTGAAGTAATCCCTTTGGATGACGTTGGGGTCGCTGCTCTCAGCCTGCGTTCCGGGGCTTCCAACTCTGGGCCGGGACATCACAATGAAGGCCTGCGGCTCTGTCCTTTTTCATGGTCCAACAAAAAGGTTTTTTTTTTGGTTATGTTGCTGTGGTGTTCAGTCGTGACAGCCTGCCGCCTTCCGTCGTTTCGGGCTTGTTGGGTTTTCGCCTTCCTCATGGCTTTGAGTCGAGGAATACAGAACGAGGGCCATGGGCTTTGGGTGGGAATGCTGGGAGAAGATCGGGGAAAGGATGTCCCCATGAATAAAGTCCTTGAACAGAGGCTGGAGCACCGTTTGGCTTACTCGGCTATTTCCGTCTCAGGTCCCAAGCTAGGGTTGCGCATTCACTATGAGTTTCAATGTTGGCCCCGTGGAAAGACTTGGAGTGTTATGGTCGTGCGGCATGCGCTGGCATGGCAATGTGTGTAAAAGGATCCAGGCCGTTCCCAAATGGAATATGTCCGCCCTGCTCCCGTGAGCCTCGAGACGCTGCAAGGCTGCCGCTAGCCTGCGAACAACGGCTCTCTTTTTTTGAGCAGCCGGCTTTGCATTTTCATGAGGGTTTAGGCGGTTCAGGGCTTTGTGATTTGCCAGCCACCTATAGCACACCAGACACCCTGCAGGGGAATATTTCAGAACGACAAAACAGGGAGGAGTGTAGAAGTTCCAAGCAGCTTTCGTTGCACTAAGCTAGAACCGTTGCAGCATGTCTCGGCTCCTGGCAGGATTCAACATGCCTTTAGGGTTTAGGGTTTAGGGTTTAGGGTTTAGGGTTCAGGGTTTAGGGGCAGGTGACCCTGCAAAGACTCCAGGCCTTGTGGAGTCCCACGAACATTGATCCAGGTTGTACTAGAATGCCATAACGGACAAGATATTGTTGCATCGTGCGTCTCCGACCCCTTTAGAGTAGGATTCCCCCTCGACCTCCTTTATCCTGAGCATTCTTGATGCTGGCGCGGGCCGCGGGCACATAGCTACTATTGCTGTGTGGAATGTGCAGCAAACGCTTGTTTTGCGGTCCTGCCACGGCATCCAGGGTGAAACTCGTCTGGTTCCCCAAGTGGTGCTTTATTCTGGCTTCGAGCTATTCGAGCTGACCAGTAGGCACCTCGGGTCTAAGGGTCTGACAAGCCTGAAACCCCAAATCCTAATAAACCTAGTTGTTCGTCACCCCCCCCCCTCCCCCCAGAAGCATAGAATGCTCTGAAGCCCTTAATCCCCACAGCGTATATGCATCTGGCAAGCTTGCGGAACTCAGCTCTCTGACGTGGCTTCAGCTCTTCGCTCAGCCTCCGAGCCGAAAAGTAGGAGCTTCCTCGGCGTTGAGGATTTCGGGTCGATCTATAGTGTCGAGGCGCAATTCGGGCAATGGAAGCCCCAACAGCGACCACATACAGGCAGTTCTGAACCAAGATCAGATTTGAGGGCCCGGGCTTCTGATGTTCGGGGCTTCGGGAGATCACCTGTGCCGCCAGGGAGCTCCACGAAATCCTCAGCTCCGCGTCAAGACCACACCCGAGAATGACATGGGTGCTTCAGCTCGCATGAAGCACCTCTGAAGAACCTCAAGTACCAAACAAAAGCCACACCAATTGAAGCATCCCCAAAGCCCGGTGCAAACCGGAAAAAACAGTGGCGGCGCGGTGGGGGCATCCGCCAACACGACGGGTGCCTACCAAAAAGCCTTGAGGGTGTGGTGGCAGGACTTTTCTGTTTGAGGGGCGTCAGGCGGCAGCACTTTCCGCGTGGTGCCCGTTGTTGTCGCCATAGCTTGCGCAACCACCTCAGCAGTCCCTAGTCTCGGGGCTTGAGGATGTGTGGTGTGTGTGGGATTTGAGGAGAAGCATGCAATGCTTCGGGTGGCTGTAGCCTCTTTTTGGGGCGTTCGAGCTCTGAGGAGCCAGTCCGCAGGGAGGTCCTGGCAAATCCTCGACCCAAAACACGAGGAAAAAACTCAGGGCACCATGCAGGAAATGGGGCACCATGCCTTGCAGGGTTCTGGACCCTCTAGAATACCCCAACGGCTCAGAAACAGGATGAAACAGGCCCCAAAGCCCAAAGCCGGACTTCAGGCGCGCACCGCTTGCCGTTCTGCATCGGAGAGTGGGCACAGGACACGGAGCAGTGTGGAGAGCGCCTGCCGGGCTCCGGATTTTGTCCCATCTGAGAAGAAAGAAGGCTAATGCTAATTCATCCCATGACTCTGACATGAGCGAATAGTCACATCTGCGAATCAACCCCTGAATATCACTCTTACTTTTGGCCTGGACTGCCTGGACTGCTCCACTCCTTGCTCACATTGCTCACACTTTCGTGTGGTACCAAACCCACACACAACTAACTGACACTGTTTCTTGTCATAACAGGTCCGAAAGCACCTGTTCGACTGCGACATGCAGCACTTTATGGCGGCAAAGATGGAAGCCGAAAGCAGTCAGAACAAGTGCATGTTCCAGAGCATCTCACCCCTTGCCAGCTGCTAGTTGTGCACCACACAGCATCCGCTTAGACTGCTTAAACACGTTCGGCCCTCCTGATTTGAGATCTGCCACAGTGCCACATCCTGCAGAATACAGGGTGGAACCAACCCTTCATCCCAAGTTATGCTCAAACCTCAATCTCAACATTTTTCGCCCTATACTCTCCTAGGTTCTTAGATTTCGGTGTACCGCCTCCGCCGTCAGTCCGCCCTCTTCAGATGCCCAGGCCCCAAATGAGCGCTTCAGCTCCTCCAGGGGAGGGTTGGGGGTTGAATCAGGGGGTCTTGGGACGTCAGCGCGAACAAGAGCGAGCTTTCAATGAGTATTCTCGGTCTTTGGTGTTTAGGCTAGGGATCCAAGCTTGAAGATTGGCGTAAGTAAACCGAAGAATTCAGCTTAGGAAGCATCTCAACAGTCAAGCGCTCGATTTGCAAACGCTGGATGCCCTAAGCCCTAAGCATGCAGGCCTTGCCGAAGCTTTCGGCACCCGCGATGCTCACCTAAGCACGCGGTTGGAGGAACCCCCAAATTTGTACGGCCAGGTGTGAGTGTGATCTCGAAAGCAGCTGGCTCCGTCTGAACTACCAAGTTGCCACCACCAAGAGCAAGAGCAGCGGCGCCTGCAAGGTGTCGAGGTTGGGTGTGACGGCTGGCTGAGGTTCAGCAGCTTTCTTTATTTTAAGGGGTCAAGTAGTGGGAGTCCTGTACCTGCCAGCAAGTGCATCACAAGATCGTACAGCATTCTACCGCACTGGTAGCATGACCACACCACACCCTCATCACATTAGCTCTCAGCCCCTGTCCTACAAAGCCCCGATCACCCTTTGGATTTTTTTCGGAAACAGGGAACCCTAAAGTAAGTAGACCCCCAATTAGTATAGGATTCCCTTACAAAAACCGGACCCCCAAGAAGGTGCCCCAATTTTCGGAAGCCCCCAAAGGTGCCTCCTCGGAGGGGGTGGGGTCCAATCCGCGGAGAGGCATCTCAAGCTCTTGGCCTTGCAGGTGGCTCTTGCGGGGTGCCTTGAGGGTAACAGGATGTAGAAGGCCTCATGGTCTTTTTCATGGCGTTGTAGGAGTCTAAGGTTGCTTTGTAGGGTTTAAGGGGTCAGAATGATCCTGCAAAGGGCTAGACCGATTATCAAAACGTCACACCTTGAGACGTACTCGCTTAAACCTTCAACCCTGTTCCTACACAACCGCCCTCCCAAGCTCTGGTCACCAAGCCTTCGGTGAGCCTTCGACTCAGCATTCGCATGTTGGAGGTCTTGTCCCCCCAAGCCTGGTCTAATATGCTGAGGACTTTCACTGGGATCGGGGTGGTGTCTGAGGTCTTGAGGGCACCAAGAAGTTCAAGAGCAACAAATGCAAGTAGGATCGACGGGTACGGATCCAGGAGCAACTGATGTTTGTTGAGATTGGAGCGTGCTGGAAACAGGCGGTGAGTGATGTGAGTGGGGCCAACTGGCCGGCTGAGCCAAACAAAGTTCCGACCCAGTCAGGACAGCAAAGAAGATGAAGCAAGGAGTGAAATTCAAGGAGTCGAATGCTCACCTGTGGTGAGCTTTCGTGCACATATAAATGGGGCATGCATCACCACAGCTTTGTTTCGACTTGGGTTTTCCGATGCTGCCCGGCAGGCTGTACGTGTGCGTGCTCCTGTGACCCTGGCCTGTGACCTGAGCCAAAGCTCGGGACCCTGCTGAATGCTCCGTATGTGAAAAAAGTAGCGAGGTTCCGAAATCGCCTGGAACGACCTACAGATGTGTTCATTATTACACGCTCACCTCTGGCCCATGTAGAATCCCAAACACTTAACCTTTTCTGTCTCTCTTTCCGGCCCAATGTATGCCAGGAGGCAGGGGCAGATACCTCCTTCACGCTTTCAGCAGTCCAGCCCAAGCGAAGCAGGAGCTCAATCAATCCTGCCGGTGTTGATTTCTCACGGAACCCAAGCTTACGTGTACACGGGGGAGCTTAGCAGCCTGAGTCACATCAGCGTTGTCAGGGCACGGTACTCGACGGGACAGGTCACATCAACAGAGCTGCTCAATGTAGACACTGCTGAGCAAGAACTGTTTATCACCGAAAGCATGTCAGCCAAGCTGATGCAAGGATACACTGGGCTCTGAGGGCTCACACCCAAGCCCTGCATGGCTACACGGCGAAGCCAAATCCCTAGACCAGCTTCTCCCAAGTAGCGCCATGGTCCATCGTCTTTCACATCGCCCCGCCCATAATTTCACACCCGAGGCACCTTTCACCTCTATGGCCGCATGCCGATCAATCACAAAGGCTCGCATCAATCAAGCAGGCTTTAACCCTTCAATATTGGGATGTTCCCAGGGATTATAGTACCCCCGAATAATCCCCATCAAGGACTGTTAGTAGAAGGGGGAACGTCCCAACTTTAATACCCTTTAGCTCTCTACCGTAGAACCTGTGAACACGTCAAGTCATGTCTTGGCATGGAACTCCGAGATCCGCCTCCGCCGTTGCGGGGAACCTCCGCGCCGTATGTAGCCTTTGGATCCCCCAGAAGCAGGTGATGAAGCATTAGACTCCAGACTGCCCCAAGATTGTGGTCATGCAGTAGAAAGTCTTCGCGAAAATCAAGCTTCTTCAGCGGAACCCCCACACTCATAAGTACTGACAGAAACTTCGAAAAACGACGGCTGAGGTCTGTGTGGCTTTCAGCCAACCCCCGGACAACCAGGGGCCTCAATGCCCACATAGACGCGGCAAGCGCCAGAGGCCCTGAGGCGAAGGTGATGGCCTGGCCTGCAAAGAAGCAGGGCAGATGCAGGATTTATAGGATTTCAGGGTTAAGGGGGGGTTTAGGGTTTCAGGGATTTAGGGTTTCAGGGTTAACTAAGGGGGGGGGGGGGGGTTAGGGTTTCAGGGTTGAGGAAGCTTTCATCTCGGGTTAGGTGTCGGGTTTGGGTCCCAAGGGTTCCACGGAACTTTACCTACCACATGCCGACCCGTCTCATCCCAGCAACCCCCTCCCCCGCCCCGCCACCAAGAACACCATCCGGCCCCTTCCTACGCCTTTGTCAATTCAAACGGGCAACTTTTTTTTGCTAGCATTTCCTGAAAACGACAAAAACTCTGCGAACTGCGTCGGTGCAACTTCCAATTTGTGGATGGTAGTATGCTTCATGAAGAAGCTCGCTCTACAGACGATGACCCCACTTCGCAGCCTCTGCCGAAGGTCGTGCGCCTAAAGGTTCCCATGGTTCGAAGCTCTCTTCCGTTCCCCCAAACCCAAATTCGGGACTTGACTGTTCCAAAACTCCTTCAAGGGTTACGGATCCAACCTTGTCATCAGCTCGTGCGGTGCTCGCAAGACGAGGCCGGCCCGCAGGCAGCCCGAGACGAAGGCCAGACGATTCCTGAAAACTTCCGGATCCCACGTTCAAGGGCTTCTAAGATCCCCAGGGGTTTTGCGGGCGGGTGGGGGGAGCTTTGGCTTGCACACGAAGAGATGTTTGCCTTGAAAAGGTGCTGGACATGTGTCGATCTTCAGGTTTAAGGCCACAAGCTGGAGGGAACAGGGATAGGAAGCCATAATCTGGAAGCTCTAACGGGCAGAGGTTGCTGAAGCCCTAAGTCTGCACAGAACGGCAGGCGTCTGACGATCCGTCCATAGCAAGCCAGCCTCCTTCACCTCAGCAGCTTCTTCGGGTTTAGGGCTTTGCTGGGTTTAGGGTACCCTAAACCCTAAACCCTAAACCCTAAACCCTAAACCCTAAACCCTAAACCCTAAGTTAGTACTTTGCTGGGTTTAAGCCACGGGCAACTTGTTTGGGCAACTTGGGCCACCTGGGGACCCAGGTGCAGCTCAGTTTGCTTGGTCTAGGGACGGAAGATATTTTAATATTTTACTGTATCTACACATATATATATAGATATATATGCATATATGGTATCTTTACTTTGTGTTGGTTTTTCTTGTCCCTTTCTCTCTTTTTTTTTTTTTGTGTGTGTGTGCGCGCAGGGGGAGGGGCGGCGTCCAAGGAGTTGCATCTTGCGATTCGACGAATATCCCATTTGAGATGTCAGACACCACTGCAGCCAAGGTGCGGGTGAGCCAAACAATGCCAGGCCGTCGCTGCACTCTGCACAGGCCTTCAAGTGTGACAAGGGGCTCTCCCAGAACCACTCGAAAAACTTGACCTTGACATGGGGCTTGTTAAGTTGCTGTGCGTAGTCCGCTACAGGTAGCCTTTATGACAGAATCAGTTCTATGCATAGTCCCCTATAGGTAGCCTTTATGACGGAATCAGTTCTAGAAAAGGATCGGCACCACCCAGTTTAAAAGAGCCTCGAAGCCTAGCCTGCTTGGCACGCCGAAACCTTTAACGGCTGCACATTAGCACTGTCTGGTCAGTTCCTGGCATTATGATATACTATGATGTCTGGTCGTTCTACGTAGCCCTATCTACCAGTATGTAAACGCCTGAACACACGGCCTGAAGCCTTTCGGTATACTAAACCCTCGCCCAAGAGGCGTCGAAGGCTTCGACGTCAACCTTGACCACCAGCGCGAGCACCTCACATGACAAGCTCCATGGCTGCTTTGCCCATCATCATTGGAGAACTTCAGGGGTCATCGTTACAAAGAGTCCTGCGGTTCAGGACCAGGGAGGAGGCGAACGCTTTTCCCAGCAACTCCTGGCATCTGCTTGGCCCTCCTCCTGCAGTTCCAGGCCTAAGACGCTTCGCCTTAGCCTAATTCCGATCGGCTCCAAAGCTTGTGGTTTGGGGTTTACGGCTGCGCCTCCTTGTCCGCGGACGTGTCCGTGATGGGAGGTGAGCAGGTCAGCTGCCGAGCCTTCAAGCTTCAGCTGTTCGTCGGGTTTCCGCAACTCCCTCGGGGGGGTTTTCAGCTACTTTTGGGCATCAGATGGTCAAATTCACACAGAGTCCTGCCGCAAACAGCCGTCCTTTTCTTTGGGTCGGTGGTCTCATTCTTTGCTTATTTTGTTGTTGCGCTTCTGGGAGGCAGCAAACCACACCGATAGGGCATGCCACCACGCCTGTACACGGCAATTAGGGCCTACTTTGCCGTCCATGCTACTGCTAGGACAAGTCGCGATGCTGGGCCGACATGGAAACGATCCGAGATGTTGCAAACCTGCTGGTCCCAGGTCAAACACTGCCCAAACCAGGTGATTTTGAAAACAGAGCCCCTTCAACGCTCCTTCAACAGAAGCCAAGCAAAAACCACAAGAGGCCCACCCCAAAACCCCAAAATGAACAGTTAAAGTGCCTGGCATCTCTTGGCCAGGACCATCAAAGGCAAAGGCTTCTCCTCGCCCTATCGAAGGCAAGGTGAAAAGGGTTGCAAGGGTATACTAAGTTGTTTCTTGCCACCCGAGGGCGCAACTCCAAAGAGGCCACTTTCGCTAAGAACCGGTTTTAAGCAAATCCCCGCTTCCCTCTCAGGAGTTTATCTCGAAGCGGCCTGTGCAGCTTCAAGAACTTTAGGCTTTAGGGTTTTAGGGATGTTTTTGAAGTTCCAAAATCATTCTAAGGTTGCTCCGAGAAATTGAGGCAGCGCACCGGGCGAGGCAGTGAAGGGTTTCTCAACACAGGGCATCCACTTGAGGTCTCTTGAGGGCGTATCGTATCTACCGATGATATAGCGAGCTTGGCTGATGGCAGGTTGCTTCAGGAGTTGTTTTACGCATCCCCATACATTGACGACCAACCGTGGGTCTAGGATTCAAGACGTTCAGGGTCTCCGGTTGTTCACAACGAAGCCTCATGCAACGAACCCCTTGCACCTCAAAACCCTTGTTTCTGCTACCACCCGCATACCTGCCAAGGGCTTGTGAACTTGTGTGGAGACATATGCAATACTCCCCTCCCCTAATATTAAACCACCCCCTACCCCCCAATATTAAGAACCCCAATATACTATAATACAACTATCATGGGGGGCGTATTTAATATTAGGGGGGTAGGGCCGGGGCTTTTAATACTTCAATATTAGGGGGAGGGGATTAGATACCTCTCTAAGACCCCACACCAAGCAAGAACCCTGCACAGCGCGCCTCGCGGCGCAGGCTCGGGGCTTGCTCCCGCGGTTCCCAGCCGTCTTCAGCCCAGGATGAGCTGTCCAAGGTTGCAAGACTTGGAAAACAGTTGCTGAGTTCATTAGCCCCTAAAAAGTGTACGCTTTCAGTTTTATAGGGGATATTATAGTATCCCAAAAATGTGTAAAGTGTACTCACTCAGCTACTAAGTGGAAAACAGTAGCAAGAATGTGTTGGTTAGGGCCCAAATATTTTAACGAGGGACCGAATGTCGATAACCTGCCGCTTGAAGATCTGACAGTTCCTAAACATTCCTAGACACCCAAACCAGACCCAAAATGTTCAGGGACTTCTCGCCATCTGCTTAGTGTTGGGAATGATGCAGCAGGCTTTGAAGGCTTCGAGTCCAGAGTTGCGTTCCCTTGCAGCATACGCTCGGGGTGGAGGACTGGGGACCTTTTTGGGGTGGTGTCCGTCTCTGCCTCTCTGCAGCAATCGCCGTGCCTGATGGTTGCAGACTTGAGAAGCAAAGCATAGACGACCTCAGGGTTCAATAGTGCGGCGAAAAACTTGCAAACTCAAGACTCGTTTCATAGTGGCATCTTAAATCACCATATTACATGATTGTTAGCGCCATCGCTCATGAACATGATGCTCCGCTTCATCTTCAGAATCATAATGATTCATGAGCAGCAGCACCACCACCAGCACAGCCGGCAGCCACCACCATCAAGATTTGCGGCGAGCTTTCGAGTACACTGCTGAGTTGTGTTGAGTTGATGACTAAGGAAAGCACAGGATGCATCTCCATCCAAAAAATCAAGGGCCAGCAATGCATATCCGAATCACAAACATGTAAAAACAACAAAAAACATATCCCAGGATCCGGGGTCCAGAAGGTTCCAATCTATCTATGCAATGTAGAGGAGGACCTGGCTCACACATCCAAGACACACCCCAGGATCCCTCTAAAGCGAGGCATATGCGTATCAGCTGCGCCGACTTGCTTGAAGAAAGAAGGTTTGCTGGAGCCGAGTGCTCCAGACAATCTGGCCAGCTCTTTGCAACCCAGGCCCTAAAGCCTTCGACCCCTCCCAGAATGCTCCAGGATCCTACCTTTTTCGGACATGCATATTTGCTTTTGACGTGGGTTTTGGGGGGGCCTGCGCCGTATTTGGAATATCCTTTTGTGCAAAAGCGCAAGTGCCGCAAGTGGATATGTGATTTTGAAACATGTTCTCATAAGGAGGACGCTCCCGCTATTTTTCATTCGCAGTCCGCATCTTGAGCATCCGTTCTGAAGCGTTTGACGGCGCAATCATGACAAGCCGAACATGCAGCAAATGCAGCATGGAGCAGCATGGCCCTGCTTGATGATTCTTTCCTGAATGGTCCCCGTGCCGCACACTCAAAACTGCAATGCCAAAGTTTCCGGAACCTACTCAGAAACATCAACTTCAAAACCCTGAGCCTGAAAACGCATGGCAAGTGGCCGAAGGTGCTTCTGCGCGGAGCGTGAATCGACGAGCTGCTTCGCTCCTGGGCTGAGATGCTAAGGCACCACACCCGAGCTGCGGCCCTGGTAGGAGCCCAGGCTTTGGAACCTGAAGCCCAAGAACCGAACACTGTGAGGACCGTACAAATTACTTCTTTTCAAGACTTGCTCACATTTATCCACATGGAGCGCATCGGGGCACTGTGGCCGCGTGCCGTCGATGGCCCATGGTCTTCGTGGCTTCAATGTGCCACTGGCAGACTATGCAACTGCCGGGCCTTGTTCCCCCGAAAGCTATCCGAATGACTGGACATGGGGCCGTCCACGAAACAGCCGTTCACAGAGGGCTCGCGGCAGTCGTCCACTCTGGATTCACATTTCGGGCGCATCGCGCCTCGTAAGCATCGACATCACACCAGGTGTTCCGGTACGACAGCATCCACTTCCATACCTCCGTGCTGTCTGCATACGCGCGCCAAATCTCCGGGTGTCCACAAGAAGGATGAATGTCCACCCGCAGTCGCGCGTTCTGGCTAACGAGTTCTTTGTAAAGCTCGACCTCTGGTGGGAATGGGCAGGTCACATCATTCTTGGCATGAATTGCGAAAATGGGCATGTTTCCCCCCGCGCTCCCAAGGCTCCGCGCAATCTCGCTGCGCTTCTCCACTTTGTGGTATGCACCGATCGGCGCGATAGCGGCGAAAAACGTGGGCTTCGTGGAAGCCAGCTCCCACGTGGACATGCCGCCCATGGAGCAGCCTGTCATGTAGATCCGTGCAGGATCCACCCAGTCAGCTTTCGACAGCTCCTCTGCCAGCTCCAGCACCCAGGTCTCTGCGGCACTCTTCCATTTCCAACGGCATTGCGGCGACACGATAATGAAGTTTTGTGCCGCGTACTGGAGACCGGGTGTTTTCAATCCCTTCTTGCCGCTGATGCCTAAGAACGAACCTCCAGGACCGTTCCCGTGCAGATAGAACAGCAAAGGCCACCGAACTGTCTCGCCAGGTGCAGCATTTTCGGCCATGTCATTAAAGTTCAAGGGAAAATGAATAAAGAACTCCTCCTGGGCGCCGCTGGAAGCCACAAATCTGCACCGCTGCTCGTTCTGCCCATAGACAAGGTAGTGCAGGGGAGCTGCAACCGTAAGGCCCTCGATAGGCGATGGATTCACAGCCCTTGCTTTGCACTTAGAGACGCGGACGTCCCCTAACATCACGTCGAGATCCTCCACCTCGTAAAAGATTTCTTTGTTTGTCGAATCTACCAGAGCACGCCGGACGCGAACCCACGCTGCTTGCCCATCATCGCCGAGCATGCGCACGACAGTGCCCTTGGCCAGTGGCTGCAGGCTCTCCACCTCAAGGGTAGGGGTTGTCATGGAAATCGGGTCGGGCAGTTGCAGAAACCTCAGGGTCCTGAACATGGCGGAAGCCAAGAACAACCTGCAGAGGGGAAACTGGCCCCAAGCACATTAAACCGAACGAAGTTGAACAGAAGCCACAAAGCAAAGCAAACGGAACCCAAAAGAGTCACAAAACCGGAAACTTGAACCCAGCCAGACCCATGCAATTAAATGTCAGCCAGTCCGAATAGACATGTAGGACTTTTGCAGGTTCAACCTCGAGGAGGTTGGGTTGCTGGGTACACGCTCCCAACCGGAAAGCTCAAGGTTTGGCTAGTTGAACATCCCCTGAGCCTGAAAAGGTGACTTTGGCAGAAATGTGTTGATTTGCATACAGAGGCATCTACTGCAGTTAGGGGAAGGGGCTTGCAGTCTCCTAGCACAGCGTCGTTGGCGATGCAAGATTCCCGTCGGCTCTCCTAGCATACCCTGAGCATAACAACACGCGCAGCCTGTGTTGCTAGTTCGACAGGCTGTCTGCTGGACAATTGCCTCCCCCCGCCCGCCCCCTACCCTACGTGTCGCAGGTTTCCTGTTGCCCTAAACCCTAAACCCTAAGCCCTATAGAGCCCTAAGCCCTAAGCCCTAAGCCCTAAACCCTCAACCCTAAGCCCTAGGCCCTAACCCTAAACTGCGCTTCTTGAAACGTCCACCTTGACGACCAGCTCGCGCCAGACGCCGGGCAGAGTGACCAAGGCTCTGGAGTCCGCCAGCATCTGGAGGATCAGGGCTCGAGAGCCTTCGAGGTAGGGGATGCCTGTGCCCCTCAGCAGCACGGCCATCCCAGGGCTTGGCCTGGCAGAGACTTGATCATCTGCTCTCGGCTTGCTTCCGGCACAGGGTAGGTGCCACGAAACTTCTCCACTCTTCACATCTTTGAAGAAGTCACGCCCCTTTTCATCCATCCAGCCCTCGTACTTCACCGTCGCACATGGAGGGAGTCTTGCGAAATTTCCAAGAGGCATCTGGTCATGGTAGGCCTTAAACCTCCTCGCCTCCGGGAACTCGACCCAGTCGCACTCGTCCGCGGGCAGGCCGCCAGTACGGCGGGGTCCTTCCCGAAAGTGCTGAGGCAGCGGGATCGCATTGTTGCAATGCTCCACATAGTGGCTTCGCCAGTCGAAGGCGGCTGTGTAATCCATGCAAACAGGCAAGAAGCGCCCCAACGAAGCCCTATGGTTTCAAGATGCTCTCAGCCGAACTGCATCCTTCTGAGTAGGTTAGGCTTTCAGGGTGCATCGCGTGCATGGTGGAGTAAGCATGAATTTCTAGATGCATGGCATCTTAAAGGTGTACACAGTTTGTAATTTATGAGTTCAGCTCTAACTACATCACTGTTTACAACATAAGCTGCGTACGGTTCTGGTGTGATCAAGTTCAAGTTGCTGCGACCTGTTCAATGACATAGACAGCTTTGAGGACATGAGCGGCAAGCCTCCGACGCTTCTTCGCAGGCAACGTTCAGACGCTCACGTTCGGTCCATTCTGCTTGCTGCCCATGGCGACATACATCTGACTGACATCCCTCATCTGCATCCTGACCCACATGCAGTAGCAAGTGTCAAGTCGAGGTCCGCCCGCACCAGCGTGGCGTCCGGCGATTGCATCCAGACAGGAACCTGCCGACAGCACCCTCAAAATGCAGGCCCACGAGCTGTCTTAGTGCATTTGTGCAGAAAGCAGCTCAGGCTAAGAAGAACCGAGGCCGGCTGCATCAGAGTCATAGTTTGCTGCAGAAGTTGTGAGGTTCGAATTGGGTGTCCTTATGAAACAATACGAGTGAGGCACGAAGCTGCAGGAAGCCAGCAAATCCGGCCATGAACAAGTCATGGCACAAGTTCCTCTATCCCTCCTCCCCTCTAAGTTCACCTCTCAGCCCTGCCCTGACTCCCAAGGGGTTAGGGTTGAGGGTTTCTAAGCCCTAAAGCTCGCGGTTTAGGGTTCCTAAACCCTGCAAACCCAGCCTCTTGCAATTCCAGTCCTGGCCCAAGGCTGGCCGCCTCGGGTGCTACGAAGGACAAGGCCGCCGATGCCGTGACCTCCTGTGCAGATGGCGGCGGGTGATGTCGCACTCTGTTATAATAGGAACCCCCCTATCATGTAGATAGAACATGATTTATATATATATATATGTATATGTATATCTATATCTATCTATCTTTAAATAGGTATGCTGATACAAAGGGCTGTGTAGGCCAGATGGTGCGTTCCCCACATAACTTGGAACTCTGTCTGCTTAAGGACGACTGTAAGTCTTACAGATTGGGCACTGTAATGGGCTGTAGGCATGCCTTGTCTGTTACATCATTTTGCAGTCTGATGCCTAAGGCCCGGGCGATAAAGTGTAGCTAAGTGCAATAAGGACAGCGCCTCGCCATCAGAGCAAAGGCAGCTGGCTTCCAGTGGTGCGGTGGGTTGACCAGCAGACGGCACAACCTCAAAGCCATGCTGTGGGTCTAGGGCTTAGGGTTATCTTGCGCTGCTGTGACTATCTTGCGCCAAGCATCTGGCAATTGCTGTCAAGGCTAGCTCTTTTGCCGGTACATGTTCAAGGAAGTGTACAGGGCTGAATAGCGCATGCTCACAAATAAGGTGCCAGGTAGAATGCGCAGCTCCACAATCCCTAGAATCCCTGCACTTCGACACGGAATCCTACAAACATCTCATCGCCAGTTCCCTGCATCTGCAGCCAGGTGCGATCAGGCTAAAGACGGGGCCTTCGCCTGCTAGGGTTTAGGGTTCAGGGTTCAGGGTTCAGGGTTTAGGGCCGTTTAGGGCCGTTTAGGGTTTGGGGTTTAGGGTCCAGTGAACCCTGAAACACTCAAGCCCTCGCTGTGAGTCAGCCCGAAACCCCCCCCAAGCCCAACAAGAAACCGGGCAGACGCCCAACGATATGCACCTGAAGCACTGGAATCCTGCAGCGCCACGAGGGCTTAGAACGTGTATGCACGTGTCAAGCCTTTGTGCTGCATTTCTCGGAATGATCGGTCAAGCCTGGCGGAGCGTGGCAAGGCGGCAGCGCCAGCGACCAGCCGGCCGGGCACTTCCTGTCTTCCACGGGTGCACAAGCCGTGCTGAAGCTCAGGAGACAGGGCGATACAGGGCGCCCCAAGGCTACACTTGACAGGCTAAGGGTACAAGAGGTTGGGGGGACAGGGGGTGAAAGCGGCATGCGGGGAAGCCAGAAGGCAAGGTCACGAGTCGCGGATCTGGAGGCTGAGACTGGTGTTCGAGTGCCTCCTGATGAAGGAGTACTGCAGGCCTTATGGACATGGTTGTTTTGATTGAAGTTTAACTCGCTTTTCACACAGCTTAAGGTCTTGGTATTCAGGTCAAACTCAACAATGGTAAGCGCCATCACAAAGCAAGCCTTTAGCGAGGTCACTGGACACTCAAATTTACTGCCTGACGACAGGCAACCTATACTTCATACAGTCTCTGGAGGGGCAATTCCAAAGGACCGTCTCGTGTTCTATATAAGAACTAAACGATATCATACGAATAAATAATAAAAACACATATATATATATACACATGCATACATACACTATACCAGGAGTTACAAGGGCGTGTTATGCAGGCTGCCTTCTTCTCATATAAAACATCACTGTAGAATAGTAAGTGTAGAGTTTCCAGCGTACATGTAGAGTGAGATCATGCTTTTTTTCTGACGAGCCCTGCTTTCTGAACTCACTTGGGCCGAGTCGGTACGCGTGACTACTTGTGAAGTTGAAGGAAACAGCGCAGCCTAAACCCTTGTTGGGCCAATCCTAAACCCTTTTTTTGCATCTGGACTCCTTGCTGCCAGGCTGTAGGTAATGACCAGCTGCTAAACAGAAGGCCACCACACAATTAGGAAAAAGCAACACACAACCATGCAGCACCCGTGACCACACAGCCATGTGCCTCACGTTTAAGGCAAAGACATGCACACCTGCAGAACAAGAGAATAAACTCATTGGCGCATTGTACTCTCAATTGCACCCTAAACCCTAAACCCTAAACCCTAAACCCGACATGCAGCTTTTGCACCCGCAGCTCCTTCCCAAACATCGCATGGTGGCCATGTCATGCCAGCGGGGCGCCGACTCCTCGCCAGGCAAATCTTCAGGGATTAGGAAAGACCTCTTGGGACGTTTGTGTGTTTTGCGGTTGACAGACTTTGTGTCTAGTTAGGTCCTTACATGTGTGGCTTGCTCCAACTCTGGGGCAAGCCTTGCCTTGGACATACTGAGTCATCATCTGCTCATCATGCAATGGAGCGTTGCTGGGGTGTGCTGTCTCTTCACCCTTGTGGCACCGTAGCTGCATCTGAAAATCTCCGTTGGTGGCCTTCAATTGCTTCTCCCCCTGCGTCCTCTAGGCTGGTTTCCCTTCAGACCAGAAAAAGAGGCTTGTTCAGTGGTGCCTCCCGAAGACTGTTTGCCCTAGGGCTGGCAGCGTCATCCTTGAAGAAACTTCAGCTTTCCCAAAAACACGGGCAGAACGAAACCATGTTCAACCCCTAATTTCCACACACACATGTGTGCAAATCCTACCCCAAGCTCCGTGCCTCTGCGCGCCAGCCGGCTGTTTCCAACTGCTCCTTGCTGAGCCCATGTTGGGTTGGGGTTTGGGCGTCAATGCCTTTTCGATGCAAGCATGCACGCCTTGGAAGGGCACCTCGAAGAAGGGGGGTCCCGTTTGCGAACACGTTTGATGTCTCTTGAAAGGTGCCCTTTTTTTCCTATCGGATTCATGTGGCTTCTCAAAGGGTTCAGTTTGCCTTGCTACCCGGGGCAACGTTTGGAGGGGGGTGGGTTAAAAGAAAGCAAGGCTGTGGAGGCTCCGTTCCGCCGAGATCCAAAGTGTAAAGTCGGGCATCGCTCAGAAAAAGACTGCAGAATTCCATGAAGGAAGGCCTGCTTGCTCCACGTCCTTCAACTTCCTTCCTCATTGTTCTTGCTTTTCTTGCTTTGCGTGCTGTGTTTCCTCTCTGCATGTTGCTCGTTCAATTCTGAGACTTCTCGACACTCTACAAAAGCTAAACCCCTTCAGATCAGATGAATGTTTGTGCCCTGAAGCTTGGGTTGTTCTGGCAATGCACCTTAAACAACTAAACGTTCCTAAACCTTGAGCGGAACGACCTCCAGGAAGGTGACAGGCAACAGAGCAAACCCAAAACGTCAACAGCCAGAGAACAGAAAACAACACGCGAGACGGGAAAAGGGAACCCACACCGAAACGAAAATGCTAATCCTTAAACCCCATAATTAACCCTAAACCCTTTTAAGCCCTTTTCAACCCTAAACCCTGTTTTCAATGAACCCCGAAGCACAACTTCTACACCACAGCAACGAGGCTCTGCCCAGCTTGGTCGCCCTTGGGAGCCGGAACGTCTCTCGGTGATCACGTACACGCGGGCCGAGGCGTCGGTTTTGACCTGAGATGGTACCCTTTTAAGGGGGTCCCGGCTAGGGTCTTAAGGGGGGATTCGGGCTCAATGGTTTTAAGGGGCTTTAGGGTTGAGGGTTTAGGGGTAATTTGCGTTTCGGGTCCTTTTTGAGATGGGTTTGACGGCTTGGAGCTGTAGATTAATGTGATTAATGTGCAAGAAGCACAGAGGTGACCACCTGAGTGCCTGGTCCGAGTCCTCACTCCTCACTCCCCCCGCACCTCTGCACCTCGCTTGCCATGGGACTGTCAGCACTGTGTCGGCAGGGACGTCCTTGAAGGGGCCCGGAAAGAGGACGCCTCCTTTCAAGTTGTCCTGGGCTAGCATGACAGCTCGCACCGAGCAATCTCAGTCAGGAGCGTGGAAGTTCTTGATCTTCTTAACTTCTTGATATTCCTAAGGTTTAGGGTTTAGGGTTAGCCCCAGGTAACTTCAGGAGGGTGTGAGCACACATCGGCTCGCAAAACGAAGGCGGGCCTTACAAAAGCAAGGCGGGGGGTTTCAGGGAACATCTTGCCGCAAGCACGACTCCTTGTCAAATCTTTTCAACCCAGACTGGGACGCCCCTTACAAGCTTCATGCAAAAGAGGGGCCGCTGCAGCCCAAGCCACGAAAGGGAACCCTGGGAATCCTCCACACTTAGCTCAATCCCCAGGCCCAACCCCAGAACCCTGAACTCCAAGAAAACTTGAGATCCTCACATCCCTGATCATAGCGTCTGGTACGTCCAGGTATTTATGGTCTCGATCGATCCACGGCGTCACCCCTGAGGGCGCACACGTTGTTGGGGGCGGGCTTAGGGTTCAGGAGGACTTAGCACGACGGGTGATGTGCCTGATGTGCGCAGCTTCCTTTGTCAGCTTCTTAATATCGAGCTCGAGTCCCTAGTCAGCTCCTCGCATGCACATGCAACACGACATGTTGACATGCATGGCTTCGAAGGGATAAGCCGTGTTGCTTTCGGATTTGGCGTGGTACTGCAACCGCAACATAAACGCCAGGATATTTAAAATTGTCCAAGCCTATTTGCAGGGTATGCTGCTGCTTTGAGCATCTTTGTGTGCTTGCCAGGTAGCCTTCTTCCATGAGCGCTCTTCGCTCATATTGCACGTTGCTGCTGGAAGAAACGGTGATGCCCACGCTGGCGGTGGCCACTTTCACCACCACAGCAAAGGCCCGTGGAACGTCGCCTCACATGCCATGATAAGCTATAGACTCCAAAAGGCAGCTGCAGGCTCTAAGCTAGGGTTTAGGGTTTAGGGTTTTTACAGCCGAAGGACGTGCTGTGACATGCCAGCTAGCATGGATACAGCCATCACCCCGAACCCGCCCTGAGAAGCCCCTCACAAGAAAGCGGGTTGATCTAAATGATGGGCCCTTTGCCCGTGTGGGTCCCTGCTGAAAACACACAAACGGCTAACAACAGAAGCTTTAAGACATGCCTCTGAGAAACATGGTTGTGGAAGATGTGTGCTTGCGCAAGAACAACAAGCCCGTGCAGGTAGACATCGCCATTTGGTGGTGCAATAACAACACAGTATGTGGCCTTAAAATGTTTCAGAAGTCAGAAGTCATGAGATCAACCCCGCCACATCTCATGCTTGCCCAGGAACCATTCACGTGCACTTCCGGCAGGGCTGTGGGCGTGTCGACGCGCAGCAGAGTGCTGAACATCATAAGATCTGGTCGGGGAGGACGCTTGCCACCTGCCAGGGGCTACAGCCATGTACTTTATTCTAGTATCACAATATACTAAGCTCGTCCATGAAGGCCCCCCGAACATTTTGAACCTCAGTGGAAATGTTGGTGTAGGGTTTCGGGTTTCGGGTTGATGGACGTTGGCTTCAAGGGTCTGGCCTTCAGGCACAGGCCGTTGCCAGGTCGGCGTCTCCTATGGGCGAAGCAGTGAAGTTAGAGCAGGTCGAAGTATACACAAAAGAATTACATACCAACAAAATACTAGAATATACTTATATGCCCGAAGCCCTAAACTTACGCCTGAATTGGGAATCCTGGCATCCGGTACACAACCCTTGAAAGGACGAGATAAGGGCACCAAACTCCCGAATTCACCAGTACGAACTCGGAAGCAAACCCAGCGAAAGGCTACTATGAGATAAGCCGGCCCGTCTTGATGGGTGCGCCGCAAGCCCCAAAAACTCTCCAAGTATCCGTCTAGGTACTTTGGATCGCGCAGTGGGAGAAATATATGTATGTAGCAGAACACAAAACCGCAAACTGCCGGGGGATGGCTCTTGCGTGAGTGCACCGATCGCACGGTGTGATTTCTGCTTGGATTCTCCCTTTCTTAATCATAAGCAGGTTATATATGAGTACCCTGGAATGTCTTAAGATGCTATAAGTATAGGTACCATACTGACAACCACACTTTTATCTACCCATGAAACCCAGATAAGATTTAAAGGTTCATGCCTCCGGGGCAGAAGGTCCTCGCCCTCGGAAAGCCAACGCGGGTGGTGGGCCAAGGCCGAAGACAGAGTCCCTGATGGGTTCCAGGGTTTAGGGTTTAGGGGTTTAGCGTTTAGGGTTCCGGGATTCGGGTCCTGAACACAAAATCTGAGGACATGCCAGCGCTGTGTGTTTTTGCACGGTGCTTGCCAATGCAAGCAAGCTTTAGGAACCCTAAACCCTGAACCCTGAACCCTAAACCCTAAACCCTGAACCCTAAACCCTAAACCCTAAACCCTGAACCCCTGAACCCTAAACCCTGAACCCCTGAACCCTAAACCCTAACCCGAACCCCTAAACCAAGCCCAAGAGGTTGTGTCCCGCAAGAGAAGCCTCTGGAGCTGCCCGGTTTGCTGGGCCCAACGGGGGGGACCTCCACGACGACATACAGCCGCGATTCCTGCTACTGCATTTGGTGGCTTAGGGTTCAGGGTTTAGGGTTTAGGGTTTAGGGTTTAGAGAACTGGGAACTTCTGGTGTGAAGAGCTCAACAAGACTCTTGCACCGCTGACTTGCAACAGAGTCAGGCTACAAACTTGTTTATGCCCCTGGCACTGCATTATCGTAGCAGAAGGCAAACAGCATGCATGAGCCTGGCCAACTCTGACTGAGGGACAAATTAACAAAGGGTCGTCTGACATTGATGCCTTGAGGTGCACTCCCTTTGTGCAGTGCCAACGCATCCCAACGTGCGGCCGGCGGGTCTTATAAGCAGGAAGCCTCTTCGAGTTCATTTATTTATCGAGCATTTTGCGCCTATGCAGCTTGAGTATTAGGGGCGAAAGGACCCTTGCAAGCGATTTTGGGGCTACTTAGGCATGAAGGGGCAAGTAACGCGCGCACACACACACACACACGCACATGAATACCAAACAAAAATACCCTCAAGGGCCCATAGTATTCGTTAAGAGTAGGTTCAGCATCGTTGCGAGAATGTACTTGCAGGAATCCAAATGACTCGACAATGGCAACCAGAAGCACTGGCTGCAGCTAGCCATCACATGATCCGGCCTCCTGCACCGTGACCTAAGATGACTCTTCAGGCGGCTGATGAGTTTCAGCAAAAAAGGGAGGCGGACAGTGACGATCCAAGAGTGCATGGCTTTGCTCCCGCAGGGGCACCAAGCCCTAAACCCTAAACCCCAAAAACCCAAAACCCTAAACCCTAACTTGTGGTTGGGGGGGGGGCACGATCCAGCTTGACCCACCTCCGGGCCATACATGTTAAACCCTAGACCCTTTTTGAAGCCGGACTAAACCCTGAACTCCAAACGTTAAAAGCCCTCGACAGCCCAACTGAATCCTGCAACCGGTATCACTTCGTGTGCTGCTCCGGTGCCGAGAGCTTGGAGCCCGAGCTGCCCAAGGCACCTACAGTGGGTTGTCGCTCTCTTGGTTTTAGGGTTTAGGGTTTAGGGTTTAGGGTTTAGGGTTGGGATGTTCCCCCTTATACGAACAGTCCTTGATATAGGGATTTGATAAGGATTATACTGGGGGGGGGGAACTAAAATCCCTCCTATGGACTCTTCGCGTAAGGGCGAACATCCCGAGTTTAGCATTACTCTTGGTTTTAAGGTTTTAAGGGTTTCGACTCTCACAACTAGCGCACGCGCAAGCAAGGCTCCGGATGTCTGCATAAGACAAAAGCACATGTACACAGCGAAGGAGTCCTACACCTGACCTCGACGGAAGCAGGATTAATGACAGCATACCACACACTGCCCAAGGAAATCCATCATCCGTGTGCTGATACTGTCTTGGGTGAAGGGTTTACACAGGGCTCGATGCTCACGTAGGGCAAAGAGTTCTTGAGTTTTCGGGGTATCTTTGGCTTCTGTTTGCAATGCTCCCGAAGTTAGGGTAGGGCAAGGGACCGGGGTTGACGACGGGGTTGACGACTTTAGGAGCTCAGAGTTCCGGATTCACTGGGATGAGGCAGATTTCAGCAGGCAACGGCCTGGTAAGGGTTGCAACGCAACCGGTCGGGGCAGTTGCATTACTGCCTGAAAGCTCAGGCAGGAAATTACATTCCAAGCAGAACCTTTTGCTGATTCCTGCACCCAGCCTGACAATCAGGCAAAGATGGGTTGCTGGTTGGACACGCCTGCTAAATTTGGACCCAAGCTCTTCCAAGACCTTTTAGGGACTGCGGCTGAACTTTGGTAAACAACACGGTACCTGAGGGTGCTTCGCCTGAGCCCCGGCTGTGGGTTCGGATAAGGACCCCCCCTATGGACCCACCACCTCTAGGACGCCCTGCAGCTTTCTTAGGACTTATTTGGAACTCCGGCACCTTCAAACTCAACAAACTTCCCAAAAACACAACACACAGGATTTTTATGGGGCCAAAAGCACGCGGCTTGGAGGGCCCTTCGGTAGCGTGACGAGCTTGTGCAGTAATGGAACAGGAACCGCAAACCCCTGGCATCTAGCCCTGTGTCCTTTCCATTCCTCTACGCCAAGCTTCTGTTACAAGTGGCCCCTGGTACTTGCACCGGTCTGGTTTCCGTTATGTCCCCGGTTGGTGTCGGCTTCGTTTCTGAGTTGTGTCGGAAACAGTTACTATGGGCAGTACATCAGACGTGCTCCTGAATGCAAGACCAACACTTTCTCTACAGCCTCTTGATTTGCTATTGTGCCCAACCCCTCGCAATTTCCATGAACCCTTTATGCGGGGTTACGGCAATAGGGGACGACTAAGATCCCCCCCCCCCCCCCCCCCCCCCCCCCCCCCCCCCCCCCCCCCCCTCCCCCCAAATAGTAATTTCCCAAAAGTGTAGGATTTTCTGATCATACGGACCCAATAAGGTACCCCTAATTTCGAAAACCTTTACATCCCTCCCAGCGGCGCCTTCGGCCAAGTGGAGTAAGGTCCCTCCGAGCAATTGTGGTGGGACTTCCCCCAGCGTCACCTCCGGCATATGCAAAAGGTTTCTGGGGGGGGGGGGGGGGCCTTTGCAAAAATCCGGCATGTATAGCACTCCCAAAGTAGGTGCAACGTGTCTCCTACTCAGCAGTACACGAAACCCTGTGTTCAAAGCAGCCGGTCTGCGAAGCGTGGTTTTCAACCTCCTGTGCTTCCATTGGGATCGAAGAAAGGAGAGCAACAAAAACGGTCTACAAACTGCACGCATGCGCAGCATGCAGGAAATTTAAGGGTACACATGTTGTGGCAACAATAGTGTTCCAAAGCAGAAGAGTGAGACCATCCATTGAGTGGCACTTAATGCACTCAATGGCCAGGGTCTATCTGACTAGGTATCCGGGAAGCTCACGCTGGAAAAGGCAAGGTGCAAGCGAGCCTGCAAAGCCTACATAATTGCAGATACGCTACGTCGCTAGTCTGCCTGAAGCCTGCTACGCTAGGGTTCCAAGGATCTGCAGCCACAAGCACGAGCAAAGCGTGAGTCCCACGAATCAGTCCGGCCATCGGCAGTCGAAGTGTGTCAGAACGACCAGGACCATCGTTCTGGGGGACAGCCTTAAGAAATCGGCCTTACAGAATTACTCGGATCTACTGGGCATTTAGAGCCATCAACCCCCTCACCTCTGCTCGGGGATAAAGGTCTCTCGGAAGACTGTTTTTTCGATCCGGTAGATCTCGGTCACCGTGGAGCTTGGGCTTACTTGAGCAGCAATGATGTCATCGACTTCCACTGAGCCTTAGACCCATGAGCTTCCTGGCACAAAGACACCCCAGGCTCTTGTTTGAAGCTGCAGTCCAGAAACAAACTTAACAAAGCAAAACATCAATGTGACCCAAATATGGAGATTGGGAGCATGGTGTGCCCCACTTTGCCATGAACTTCTTCGATGGGCAATGCCTCCGGAGGAACTCTTCCGTGGCACGTAAGGCGCGAATGCGCGTGCGGGACCTGTAGCAGCGGTAGCCATCCTTGCGCAGCTGCTGTGCATCCTCGCGGCCGTGTGGGATTTCCTTGACTGTTTGGTGGCCCCGAACATGTAGAGAAAGATGACGTCACCGAGGGCCGAGGGCCCAGGGCGGAGTTTGCTAGTTCTTAGACTGTCATGATACTGTGGACTAGCATAATCCCTGGCATAATCCAAGGAAGACAAGTTTCCAGTGGGGTATCCAGGTCATAAGCTGCTGATGTCGTCGCATAGGATAGGATGTAATTCTCTTTCCACCGGGTGTTGGCCTGCACCACATAGTCGCCCTCGACTGCCGTGTTCACCGTCTCCTCTTTGCCATCCACCACAGTGGTGATGATCTCTCCTGCTGGCTGAACCCTGGAACCTCTACTGTAGTTGAAGCCCGAGGCGCAAAAAATCTAAACAGTATGAGGTGACTGCATGGTCTCCTGCTTGAGCAGGGCGCAGGAAAGCAAAAGCCACTTTGCGATACCAACGACCGGAAGTGAGCATCTCATTGCTCACCTGGTATACGTTCAGGGGTCCCGGAGGTCTTGGGGTTTAGCCATTTTGAGTGACTCAGGGTGTCGAGTCATTGATTATGACCTTAGGGGTTTGCGCTGAACGGGAAGCTGCACCCTTCACGCCCTCGCACCTGCTTGATCATATCCTCTTGAGAGCAAATTCCTTTGCCGACAAGACCGTTGGGCACATCCGGGGCAAACAAGACCTCCGTGTTCTCTTCTTTAAAGTTCGTGGTCTTGGGGTCCCCGGGCTTCCTTTCAAGGACCGCCTGCTTGTTGCTGCACATCCTCAGCAGCAGAAGTTCGGGATCACGTGAGCTCCATTTCCCTTGGATGGTGATGGCATCGATTCGCAGGGTGACGAAATTGCCGGCTTGATCGCTGGCAGCAGGCCAAAGCTTCCGAGCACGACGGTAGATCTCGGCCAAAATCTCCAAGCGCCTCACTGGGCTGTCGTTGTTCATCCTCTGCAAGAAGGCCGGGCCATAGTAGACCAAGAAGGCCGGGCCCGCCAGGCGGTCTCGCACGCTTGCTGGCACGAATCCCTCCGAGAAGCTTTGATTCTCCGTGCCGGTCCGTGCCATCTCGACGCTGAGCACCTCCTTGTCCGAATCGCTGAGCTTGTCAAAGGCCTCCAGCACTTGGGTCGCCATGCCTTGCGCCATGCCTCGGTTCCCGCGGGACATGCCATGAGACACTCCTCGTGACGCCACGCACACGCCGCATACATATGCAAATGTATACATATACATATACATATACATATATATATATATATTTATATGTATATATGCGCACCCTAGTTCACCTGCCTTGAACATTGTTGAACGACCGCAGCTCCAGAACATCCAAGAACATCCAAGAACGCCAAGTTGCAAAGCAGTCGTGTCTTCACAAGAGCCTCGGGGCCCGCAGGCAGGGGACCCACTGGTGGCTGAGCGTTTCTCCACCGGTCTTTCAAGTAGCTCTCCATGACCTGCTCAGGGTAGCCCGGGGCTGGTAACCGCTGGATGCAAGCTCTGACCCTGACTTGTAATGGGCGCGTGCCTCGGTCTCCGTGCGATCTGCCAGCTGCTGAATGTACCTAAGTAACAGCGAGGAAACGAATAGGAACCCACAGAGACAAGTAGGGGGTAAGGTTGGTATGACAACTGTAGCGCCAAGATGCTTCACCGACTCCATGAAGCTCTTGAGAACTGGAAGAGGTAGTTGGCTGGTGAGCTTCAGGCAGCCCAGCAGAGGCGAAGGCTCTGCTCCCGCCAAATCGGTTAGCCAATGCACAAAGTACAGGCTCAAGTCACGCTTGCTGAGCTGCCGGTCCGACTTGTTCCTAATCTGATCTTGGAACCCTAGCAGTCTTTTTCATTTTCATCAGTTTCTTAGGAATTATAGTACCCCAAAAAAGTAAAATCATTCCCGAACATCCCTAAGGTTCTGCGAGGTGATTGCCGCCTTGATGCCGCGAAGGACCGCCCCTGGCGGGGCCTCTGCTTGCACGAACCATCCATTGTTGAAGGCAAGGCCGCTGAGCACCATCCGCACAGACGACTGCAGGTCGGGCTTCAAGCTGCTCCTTGGCACTCATGCGCGCATCTTGCGTAGGACTCATGTTCCAATCGCCATGACACCGTAGCTTACCTAAAGAAGACGACGTGATGGGACGTCTATCCCAGAATCGGGAGAGAGAGATCGCACATGTTTTTTTTCTCGCAGTGAGCCCCAGCACCTGATGAGAAAAGACAAAAGGGATGTCAGCAAATTCAACCGACAGAACGCCAGGCTCCCTCAAGTCTTGGGCGTACTGTAGAAGATCATGGCTTCAACCCCTAAACCCTAAACCCTAAACCCCCTAAATCCTAACTTCTGAAATCCAAAACGTCCTCTGAAGGCAAGGGTCAGGGATGGCAAAAGCTGCGGATAGCGTTCAATCAGGTAGAAGATGGCCATGTCCTCACTTGGGGTTTAGGTTTAGGCCGTTTAGGGTTTAGGGTTTAGGGTTTGGGGTCTAATTTCTTTTGTAAGCACCCTCTGAAACAGCACGCTCCACGCTAGTGCAACCAGCCAAGCACCCCATCAGCCCTGCATCAAAGGGCAGGGGTTAGGTTTAGGGTTTGGAGTTTAGGGGTGCTTGACATGCCTATGACATCTCTATAGGCTTTTGGGGCTTAGGGTCTTGTGCACTGGGTGTACCTTTCAACCCATCTCAAACATCATGCGTAAGGAAGGTGCTGTAGCTTGAGAAATTCACAGGCTGAAGCCAGCCAAAACCTTCTACTTCTTCGATCACAGGCTTTTGGGTTTAGGGTTTCCTGGACTGTCAAATGCTTTCTAAGGCAACCAAAGATCATGGTCGGCAACAACCTCTGACTCGCCATAGCCGCGGTATGGGGCATCGGCCTTTGCCACCACCGGCAGCAGCAAGCTGACCTTCAAAGCTTCAGCGCTTCTTCTGAAACTGCTCTGATTTAAATCTATATACATATATTGCTACATATGTTTTCTATACATGTCATATCATATATATGTATATATATATAGGAGGAGAAGTATCACGCCCAACACTCCCCAACCTACAAGCTTCCCCGGCCTTCATGACATCATGCAGCGCCGTCAGTACCAAGAGGGCAAGGATGGTCTCACAGTCCACCTCGAGCTTTGAGCCCTTCGTCTGCACGAGAATGCCTGCCCCCATGAGAGGCGCTTCGGTTCAGGACTTTCAGGCTGTTCGGGTTGTGGTGTTTATTGAGCATGCAACCGCATGGAATGTGTGCAGGTTGCACTCTCGCCCCAAGCCCATCTGCTTATTTCGTCATCTCTCTGAAACTCCTCCCTGCATAAAGGACGCTTCCATGAGTTGCCCCACCTGCATCGAGCATCAGGTCGTGGAAATGGTTCCATATTGTGTCGTCGCCATAGAAAACACGACATTTGTCGCTCTCGCCCTCGCGAGATGCCATGGGCCTCCACGAGTCATCGACCCCATGGCAAAACCCGTGCTTGCCGTCAATGTTCGCGCGCACCAGCCAGTAGATTGCAAAAAATGCTCCAATCCTGTGTGGCGCGTGCCAAGCCCCCAGTAAACACACACAAAAGCACATAGCAATGGATGTTAAGCGCCTGGGGTGGAAGCAGCTTTTCGCTGAAACAAAGCCTCAAACGAGTGATGGAAGCTTTAAAGATCAGGAGTCGTTCGCTGGAACTCATCCCCAGCCACCCTGCCACCATAGAGGAAGTCACGCTTGAATTCCGGAGTGTCTGCCGACATTCCCTCGAGGCCAAACCTGGGTGTGGTGCCAAGGAGTGAAAGGCCCTTGGGGGGGTCGAACGCGCAACGGCCCTCCCTAAACCCTAAGCCCTAAACCCTAAACCCTAGCAAGATCTTTTTTGTAGATCAGGACCCAGGGGCAGATGAAGCTCTGGAAAAGTGGCCATGAGGTCCTGTGCAAAGCCGTCCAAGATGGACCCTAGCGCTTTCCACGGCTTTGCAAGCTTTTTGCATGATCTCAGGGCCATGGGGTGCAGGCGTCAGAGGTTTGGGTTTGGGGTTTCGGGTTTAGGGCAGGGTCTGAGTCCTGGAAGTACTGCCCAAGCGTGTAGTCCGGCTTAGCGATGTGCTTGGCAATTGCCCGAGCCCGCTCCATATCCATGCCTCGGCCAGTCTCAATGAGGCGAGTAGTAGAAATGTATATGCCAATTCTTAGTTGCGGTGTTTTGGTGGTTGGCCATGCTTAACAATGATGTCTAAAGTCACTGAACAGCGATGCATCTTGCAAGAAATCTCTCCGAAGTTGGCTGAGATACTGCGGCCCGCCATGACCGCCTCTAAAAGTGGACTAGGACTTTTCTTCTTCTCTGCAATCTCCATCTGGACAGCCTCCACGGAGACCGTAACGCCTGGAACACGACCCGCCATTTTTGCTGACTGGACCGTCTCGACTTCTCCCTTTAATGAGCTGCTTTTGCAGGGAAGCGCGCTTGCCACACAACCTCCCATGGCGCCGAAGGCAGTCGAGCAATGCCGAGCTGCCGCGAAAATCACAGAATCAAGAGCACAAGCACACGGAAAGGCACAAACGATGCTTTGCGCTACACGCTGGCAAATGCACAGAGTCTTTGCATGAAGGCACCACCAAATCGAGGCTTGACAGGAGCCAGCTGCATGCAAGTTGAGATCAGAATCAAGTCCATGCCGAGCCCAACTGCAATGTCAGCTCTGTCAGCTCTCGAACCCTCTCTTGTGACCACCTTTAGATGTCAGAAACGGCGGAAGTGCTCAGCCTCTGCACTCTCGCTCCCACACTCTCTCACACGCGAACACCTGTGCCTCGCTGGTGTCAGGGCTACTTTGGCTACTTTGCCAAATGGCCAGACCGTCTGCCACGACAGCCTGGGCGCCATGGACAAAGCTTTTGAGCGCGTGAGCAAGCTTGGAGGTCCGGTGTAGGGCCAGTTTCCGGCTTGCATGCACTTTGACCTGAGATAGCTGCACCCTTGCTGACCTCGTGCGGAGCCGAACTTGAAAAGAGCACGTCAATGGAATCTAACCTAACCGGACGTGGGCAGCAGCGGCCTTTGTTCCCAAAGGTTTGTTTGGTTTGGCTGAGACGGCGAGACCACGGTGCAGACGCTAAGGGCCCCTGAAGACAACGCATTTAGATGTTTAAAGGGTGAGCTACAGATCTAGGGGCTGAATTGTTGTGGCATACTCATTGTACCATGGTTTAGGGTGGCAGAAAGCACCTTACATCAACCCCCATTTCGATCAAAGCAGCAGTGGACACAGAGACCGGCCCGGAAGGCGTGATGAAGGTCGCCGAGACCTTGGACGCAATCTCGTTTTGTGGTGGTGGGCTTCTGTAGCACGTTGCAGTAGTGCGTTTAGGGTTTAGGTTTACAGGACCCTGAAGGCACCTCAATCTTGACCAACCCCCTGGGACTACCCAACTGCCCTGACAGATGCATCTTGCATATCGACAGCCAGATTGCAAATCCAGAGCTGGAGTCGTTACGGGGACACTGCTCGACCTCTTTCTCCGAGCCCTCCTGGCGCAGCAGCTTCACAGTTCCAGCTTCATCAGGGTTGGGCTGGCTACCGGAGCCCTGCTCGAATCTTACATCGTGGCTTCAGCCTCCGCCCAAGATTACATGTAGTCCTCGCTGTCATCTTCAGCCTCATCCTGGAAATCTGAGTCGTAGTCCTGCTGCAACTGGGGGGGGGGGGTGTTTCGCAGCAGCCGTCTTGAAGCAATATGTTGAACCATGCACCGGCTGGCAATGGCAGCATGCAGCTGCCATCTGACGCCTCAGAACCACAAGCCTGAAACCATGAGCCCTCTTCTGCAGCATGTCCCTAACTTGCAACACGCTGGACCCGTCCTGGTCGTCCTCGTCCGCATCCGCCATGGGGTTTTCAAATGCTTCTGACAACTTGGCACGTTTGAAAGTTTGGCGTCGCGTGCGGCGTCGGGCTTAGGGTGGATTGTACCACTAGCCTGAGTATTTCGCTCGACACGGCTTCGTGATAATTGGGAACCGTGAACCCCGGACCCTCTGTGCATCCTACAAGCATCCTGTGAGCCCTATACTGTAGGCGCCATCACAATCATGAACATTCTGAAAACCGGAGGTTTTTCTTGCAGCATCCTCAACCTCGAGCCAGCCGACTCCGATGCTCTGCAGATGCCACCCTCTGTCCTTAAGGAACCTCAAGCGGCGCATCTCCGAAAAGGCGGGGAGGGGGGGGGGGGGGGGGGGGGTGCACCTCTTGGCAGCCTTTATGCCGGTCAGTCGCTTGACCTCGTGCGCTGGAGCTCGGGCCGAGTCACAGGTTTCAGTGCTCAGGGTGTTCCTACCCTCGTAGACTTCCAGCTCTAGCTCCTTGATTCAAGAACCTGAAGCCCACCGGGCCGTTGCAGTGGCCGGGCTCAAACCCTGCTTTCAAACACCCTGTTGGGCAGGGTACCTGTATCTGTTGATCCTGATGCCGGCTGCAGCAGAAACCCTGATGAATGCTGCGCAGCTGAGGCAGCGGACTGGCAGATTGGCCGCAACCCACTTGTCAGCAAATTTCACCTGGCTTCAGGTTTAATTGCGATTCGCTGCTGAGCACCGAACGAAAAGCAAGGCCTCAAATGGACCGTAGCCCACATTCCTCGAGCCCTTCAGGCTTCGTGCTCAAGACGGTCTGTCACGGCTCCATGTGCAAGTCGGACATGCTGCTGTTGGTGAACCCCAATGCCGATTGACAAGCTTTGCATTTCAGCTTCTGCTGTCGAGATGCCCCCCCCCCCAAGTCTCGCAACGCTGAGCCAGACATGTGTCAACCCACTCTGAACCTGCTGTGCGCACCTTCGTACGTACCTCTGTAGGCACTATTGTTATTCCTAGCATTCACGCCGAGTACCCGGCCAAAATGAGCCGCTCGACCAACTCTGATCGCTGCGCTTCATCGCCTTAGGGCTTTTAGGGATTTGGGCTGTGTAGGGTCTTGGCTGCAAGTTGGGCTCAGGGTAATGATTCCTGATTCAATTAAACCTTTCTGGGACGCTAGACCACGTGAGCCTCCGCAACCCCACCGCCTCCCCTGCTCCTCGCCTCATCGACATCAACCGCAGCCATTGCATGAAACTCTCTGTCTCTCTCACCCCAGCACCCCGTAACAGCATTTTCACCTCCTCTATTTGGTTGGCCAGGGATTGGGGTTCGCCATCCACTGCGTCGCTTCATGTGAGCCATGCTCTCCGCCTTGCCAACTCTGAAACGTCGGTATGTACAAGAATAAACATCGATAGTTCAAGTTTAGGCCGTACCCTTGGGCCTTTGCTATGTACAGTCCAGGAAATCGCAGACTCAGGTCTTCAGGTTTTGAAATCTTCGAATCCTATCCGCAGTACGTCGACTGATCCTAGGAACGCAGCTGACATCTGCAAGGCTAGAGCGTTGCAAACTGCAAGACCCTGAGCCTGAACCCTGTGCTCAGCTCGCTGGACAGGCGCACTCCTCACACAGGGCGTGACCCAAGGATGAGTTTAGGGTTTGGGGGGGTGGGAAGGGGTTGGGGGGGGGGGGGGGATGGAAGAGCCTCAGCTAGGTTCTCGTGATGGACGGCAGCCTCAAGGAAACTCACGTGCACATCCCAAACCCGTCATCCTCGTTCGTATGAACACAAGCCAGTGCCTTCAAGCCCTCAGCACCCCCAACGCCCGAAGCCCGAAGCACCTCAACACCGCTTTGCATTTAAACCTCCCCCACCCCGGCAACCACACACCTACATCCTCTATAACCCTAGGGCTGAACTGAAAAAAACCCATGAGCCATACAGCTTACGGGCCCTAAACCCGAACCCTTTTTCAACCCAGGACAACCCTAAACCCCTTGGCCCATGGAGGCGCCTAGGCGATGGCCTCCAGCGGGTCGCCCTGGAGGAAGATCTGCTTCGACTCCAGGGCCTTGAGCCCAAGGTTGGGCTTCAAGCTTGGCATCTCTTCTGCTCTTAAGGTTTATGACCAAAGTTTAGAGTTAGGGTTATATAGGGTTTAGGGGTTAGGGTGCAGGGTTAAGGGTTTAAGTCGCTTGTTTTGGGGTCTCCTCACCTCGCTGCCACCGTACCGCGCTGGAGTACGTTCCAGGTTTTGGGTGAAGCCAACTCCCTCAGAAAAGTCTACTTCGAGGTTCAAGGATACTCCCCTCCCCCAAATATTGAACCCCATTACCCCAAAACATACAAAGACGCCATCTGCACTTATATTAAAGTGTCTGACGGCCCCGGGGGTCTATATGATTTTAATAGGGAGGAGTTTAGATAAGTTTAACAGGGGCAGCGATGCCCGGCAATCTTTTTTAAAGGCGCGCCACGTGGAATTTTCTTACGGCGCCCTGACGATTTGTCTTTAAAGAGGGACTCCCAAACAGTCAGGGTGTCCTGAATAACTCAGCCAAATTGTCTTTGAAGAGGGGGGCAATACTAAAAAAGGTGCAACATTAGGGGGAGGGGATTCGCGACCGGACGGCAAGCCTCCACGAGGTCCACCACCTCCTCCTCGTGTTCGAAGGGGCTTGGAGTTGTAGGGTTTACTCGGCGCTGTCTCTGTATCTGACCAACTGAGCGCGACTGCAAACCGGCACATCATCGAGTTTTAGGGCTTATAGGGTTTAGGGCGTGAAAGGGATCAGGGCACACAGCCATACCCTTCTTGCTTTTTAATCCGCGGCCACGGCTCTCCCTAAATCTAGCCCGAAACATTTCCAACAGGCTTATCAACCCACTACCGCCACAACGTGCGACCGGAAACCAAGACGAAAAGAGGAGCACTCGCAACCCTGAACTTCGAAACCATTTTCTCCCGATGCCCGCAGCCCAGATCTGCACAGGCCTCGTCGGGCGTGGGCTCAGGGCCACCAGCTCGCGCCTGCTGCAACAACTTTCTTGCTGCACGAAAGTTTGTTTGTCGCCCGTCTAGCCATTAATTAGGGTTTAGGGCCAAGTTTACATGGACGAGTGTTCCACTCGTAGGGATATGACTAACATGCGCCCGCTTGCACAGATCGGGCCGCCTTTAAGACGATAACTAGGCCTTAATCGGTCGGCACATTTGTGCTGAGTCAACCTAAAGGAGACCGACTCAGAAGCGACCCATCCGTACTCGTCACGGCATCATTTTACCGTCAACCACGCCTCGCAGCCTGCCAAGTGTAGGAGCCAAAGCACCTGCAAGTTTCGCGACTGGACTGTGTTTGCAGGACAAAAGTTGTGTGTGTCTGAGTGCATCTACCTACCTACCTACCTACGTACCTACCTACCTACCCACCTACCTATATATATATATATATATATATATATAATGTATCTATATATATATATAGCAGGCATAGGGCTTGGACAGCACCCACTTCCGGCCGCAGTGCGCCCACGAATGTTGCCAGCGGGTCTGGTGCTTGTTGACTGGTCAGGGTCGTCGGACCCCATAATTAATCCTGAAACGGCCTTCAACTCGGTATAGGTCCTGAGCCGAGCAGGCGCCTTGCACAACGGAGCATGGCTGACGGCACGCACGGTGCAGCGCCACAGCTCTTCTGCAGCACCTTTCGGAAGGCCATGTTGGTGTAGGGGAGAGTCACTTCAAGCGCAAGCGAATGTCATTGCCCTGGCCAGCTTCAGAAGAGAGCGCGGATGTTTTCTGGTTATCACGCATTGGCCCTAAACCAAATCGACTTCTGTGGATCTGGAGCCTGACATCTTGCTCGCCCCTACAGCGCCAATACCGCGGTTTGCACCACCACCTGAACCTGCAAGCTCACCGCTGACTTTGGAGCTACAGTGCCTTCCTGAACCGAAAGAAGAGCAATGAACCTTTCCTATCAAGGCAATGTCTGCAAATGCGAGACTGTTGAGCTATATCAGAGTCGCCTCTATCGAAGGAGGTTCCTTGCAGCTTCACCAGGAGGCTCGTGGCATAGATTCCCCACACTGCCCCGCCGCCAACCTCAGATAGGTTGACTGCTTCTGGGTGAAGACGACGATAAGCTTCTCTACATGTTTCGTGGCTACAAGGCATTGCAGCATCACACTGCGCTTTCTTCACAAGCACAGCCCTTCTCCCTTCCCCACGAGCCCTTGCACCCTACCACTCAAACCCGACTCCGTCGTAGCTTCACCCAGAAATCAAAGGTTCACGAGCTCCGCCTTAATATATAGATAGTGGGTGCCAGGGGCTGGGGAGACCGCCGCCGTGGTGGCCGCTTTCTCACAGAGCGCTGCAGGCCGGGGACCGCTGGGCGACACGAGGAGTTCGGCCTGTTTGCTGTAGGGCTCCGAAAAGGCATTGCATGATGAGGCATTCAATAAGGTTCATGTACTCTATACTGATCTGATCGCCACTATGACAATGACGCCGCATATACGAATGGATAGGTGTACCAAGTTATAAGTTCTTAACGGTTTTGGGTTTCAGGCGCTGGTTCAGGGATTTAGCCACAGCGGCTTCCAGGCTCTACAGCACTTTGCACAACTGCATTGCAATGTGGGGGTTTGGCCGTATCAGAAGCGGCCAAGCGATGATGCATAACCCTAAACCCTAAACCCTAAACCCTAAACCCTAAACCCTAAACCCTAAACCCTAAACCCTAAACCCCCACATCAGCCAAGGAGACTCGACCTTGAAGACCATCTTCTACACGGTGCCCTACGCCCAGGAGATTCAAGAGCCCTTGTGTCCTCCAAACCCAAGACACAGGAAAAGCAGTCATGGTTCAAAGCCCTCGCTCCAGCAATGCCAAACTTTTCGGGTTCGGATTGTTTTTGGGGCTTGGGGGGAGGGGCCTATATAGAGTTTAGGGAGGTTGGTTGAGTATCCCAAACAGACCTCGAGGCCAATCCGGAAGGAGTCGAACCTGAGCCAGAATTCATGTCGGCTCTGAGGTTCAGGTCCTGGTTCAGGTGATGTGACGTCTGCTGACGTTCTGCTAGATCTCGTTGTGGACTTGCGATGCGTAATGCACCCCCCCCCCCCCCCCTCCCCTCTCAACCTCCCCTCCGCCCTCCCCCCACCCTCCCCCCTTCTCGCCTCATGCCACCCAAGCCTAAACCCCAGCCCCTTTTCCATGAGGCTTGTTGGGTCCGGCCTAAACCCTAAATACATGAGCACTTTACTTAATACAATATTGGAATCTCGTACTATAGCACCGTAGAAGCGATAATAAGATGCTACCGCCCCCCTGTCGACGGGAAGCCACTGCGCGGCGCTGGCTCCCAAAGGCTGCGGCCGGTGGAGGCACAAGACTTCGTCGAGCTCCTCTGGGATGAGGGATTAGTTAAGGTGTAGTGTAGGGTTCTTCCCTAAGATCAGGGTTTAGTTAAGGTGTTGTGTAGGGTTCTTCTAGGAGGGTAGAGTTAAGGTGTTGTGTAGGGTTCTTCCCTAGGTTGCGGGTTTAGTTTAGGTTTAGTGTAGTTCTTCCCTAGGTTGAGGGTTCAGTTTAGGTTTAGTGTAGGGTTGTTCTCTAGGGTGAGGGTTTAGTTTAATTAGGTCTAGTGTAAGGTTCGAATTTGGCTTAGGGTTTAGTGTTGGGTTTAGGGTTTAGATTAGGGTCAGGTTTTAGTTTAGGGTAGGTTAGAAAAGAGGTTATAGTTCTCGGTTAAGGTTTAGTTTATGGGTTCAGTTTAGTTACGGCCAAGGTTTAGGTACATGTACGGTGAAGGGTTGTTTAGTTTAGGGTTGGGGTTTGGTTAGGGGTTGGGGTTTAGTTTCGGGTTGGGTTCAGTTCAGGGTAAGGGTCGTTTGTTTATGGTTAGGGCATAAGGCTTTGGGCTTGTGATGTGGGACCTTGTGGATATTGAATAATACCAACTCGGGAGTGCCAGTGTCGGGGGTTCGGCTGGGGAGTCTTCGTGGGAGCCTCCATGGTCACTTGAGGTGCACAGATCGAAATCTCATTCCGCGTTGTGTCTCAGACATAGGAGAAATTCCCTAGTAAGCAGAGACCCTCACTTCAACTTCTGTTCAACCTTTGGTCGCGGCTCCCGTCGCATTGCCGACACACGCCCTTGGCGGAGGCGAGTCATGCAAAGAACACCTTGCAAAGGGCGAGGGGTCGTCAAGGGTGGAGGGAGTGCAAAGCTTAGGGCTTAGGGCCCTAAACTCTAAACCCGAAACCCGCACCGGTGAATTTTAGCTTCTGTTGAGTTCGGGAGAATTCGGATTTTTTCGCATGGTCCAGAGCCTGGCAAAGCCCAGGCCTCAAAAGCCTTCTATTTAACAAGAAAGACAAGATCATCCAAGTAGAAGCAAACAGATTCCACATCTGATCCAGTAATGCGAATGCCCCAAAACGTCTCAGAACCAACTTGGTAGACCCCGGTGTCACCTTAGCACATTCCCGGGCCGCAAACCTTGCTGCCCATTGCAGCCCAGGAGCGCAGTGCAAAGGGATTCCCAGGATCCAGGCGAAGGCAAATTCGCACAGCCTCCTTGGGGCGCAAAGAGGTAAGAGCCAATCTTTCTGGTCTGATGGTTCCTCCTCGTGCAAAGCTCCCATTGTTCCTGCTCTTGCTGTTCTATTGTCAGGGTGGGTGGTTGTGACTGTGCTTGCATGTATGTTGGCTGCTGTTGTTGCCCTAAGCAGAGGGACCCTGAGTTGAAGTCTTGCCCTGCAAATTGGGAGGCTGCACAGCGTTGCCTTCGGCTCTTCTTGAATTTTGCCGTCACGCAGTTAGAATCCGCAACGGTTCTGATCGGGGCCTGCGCTTGCACAGGCTACTGTGATTGAGCGTATGTTCGGGATCTTGCAAGGCCCCTCAACCCTGATCTGAGGCTCCATAAGGACCTAGAGTAATCCCCTCCCCCTAATATTAAACCCCCCCCCTACCCCCTAATATTAAATACCCCCCATCATAGGTATATTCTAGTATATTGGGGGTTTTGGAATTATTGGGTAGGGGGGTTTGAATATTAGGGGGAGGGGGTTAGAGAGAGCCAAGAAAGGCAAGTGGCCAGCAGAAGTCTCGGTGGGGTGCCGGCCTGGACGGCAGGAGAGCCCGTGGTTGTAACCCGCACCAGTTCAAACCAGGAAAACTGCTCTTTTTCAACCATCCCGACCATCTTTCGGAACAAGGGCTCTATATTGGGATGTTCACCCTGAAGATCCCTGAAGCTAACAGTCCTTGCTCGGGAGTACTTATAGTACCCCCCCCCATATTATAGTCCCTATTAAGGACTATTCGTATAAAGGGGAAACGTCCCAAGTTCCGCACATACTTGGGTCCCAAAAAACGGGAAACCCAACAGCAGACTCCCATGTGGCGACTCGAGGTCACAACATGATTCTTCGAGAGCCAAGCTGTGGCAATCTTCCCGGAGACGACAGTTCCCCGTAGTTCGGGGGGGAAATCTTACAAATCAGGCCAGGGATCCCGATGTCGGTTCAAGGAATGTCTTTCCGTTCAGGGTTATCGGGTTCTTTCGGCTATACTGCCTGCAATTCCGCTCGAAGTCTGGCATGCACCCACGAGCAGCTTCTGCCCTGGCCTGACGGCGAAGAAGTGCCAGCAGTCCTTCTGCGACCAGTGTCCAACCACTGGCAGCCTGTCCGAAGGCTTTCGGCATTAGGTGCACGACCCTTTCACCAAAACACTTTCTAGTCCGGAAGACTTTTGGTCCCCACTGACCCCAGAGCACAAGCTCACAAGCTTACACAGTGCTTTTGAATTCACACCACCATTACTACTATTACTAGTAAACAACATCGTATATTGTATTATTATTTGTAATCCTGCTTGCATTAGTCTGTTGTTTTTTATATTCAACAGTCCAGCGCCTCATGGGCTTCTCGGCTGGCCACGGTGGGCCGCAGTGGGCCTGAGAGCAGGGTTTAGGGTTTAGGGTTTCGCCACCCGCACTGCGGGTTTAGGGTTTAGGGTTTAGGGTTTAGGGTTTAGGGTTTAGGGTTTAGGGTTTAGGCATGCGGTCTTGCGGACTGTCTCGAAGAAGCTCCTTGGAGACAAACTACGTAGGACCGAATTAATAGGTTTAGGGTTTAGGGCCACAGTTAAACAAACACGCAAATCCCCTTTAAAGGGCTTTCATGGGGTGTACAAGGCAAACCCAACCCAATAGAAAGAGAGTACGGTGGGTCGCAGTCTAATGCTTCGGTCTCTGGCAAAGAAGCAGTGTTTGGGATTTGGCTTCGTGGCCCCCTAAGCCTTGGGATGTTCGCCCTTATACTAACAGTCCTGAATAAGGATTATGCTAGGGTTACTAGGGGTGCTAGGACAATAATCCCTATTCAGGACGGTTGGTATAAAGAGCGAAAATCCCAACCTAAACCCTAAAAACCCTAAACCCTGAAACCCTGAAACCCTGAAACCCTGAAACCCTTAATCCCTGAAACCCTGAAACCCCGAAACCCCGAAACCCTTAAGCCGAGTCATCTCCGGGGCCTGCGTCCATGCTGAAGGCACACGGGCGATGGCGCCTCGAGCCATCCGCCGCCCAAGGAACCTGCAGCTGAGCGGAATCAACAAGAACGTTTAGGGTTGAGGGTTTCGACTCTCACAGTTGATAGGGTTTGGGGGAGGTATATAAGTTTTTTATACGATAAACGCATATTGGTTTCTACAGACGGCGCAGCGTCACACCGTAAGCAACTCTCCTGTGCCCGGAGGGTACGCCAAAGTTGCCCAGACTCGAGCGTAGGACCGGACGATGCTGTGTTATCACTATAGCCATGGCTGCCAACTACTTTCGCCGACCAAGAGGATTACAGGGTTACATGTTGCAGCACAGCTCTGTCAACGTACGCGCGTGCACTTCAATCGCAACATGCAAGTGCTGAATATCTTCGTGGTAGGTGGATCCTCGACGCTAGAGGCAAACTTTCGACCGTAAGGTGTTCAGAACAAGTGCGTGCTTAACGTTGACAGACACCCAAACTTGCCAAACGAAAAATGACGAGCTAAAACTCTTATCGTTTGTACAAATATACTGATAAATATGCTGATATAAGAATACACTGAATAAATGAAATACGCCTACAAGGTTTAGAGAATAACAGAATAGTAATAGAATCAAGATAGAATACCGGAGAAATTGAACAATAGAATCGTAGCAGCATAGAATAGTAGAATAGTCGAAACAAGGATAATCGAATAATAGAATAAGGGAATGATATAATTGTAGAGTAATAGAATAATGGGCTGATAGACACATAGATTAGCAGAAATAAGTAGTTATATCAGAGTATATTCACATATGACTACACGAATAAGCGATTAGTATAGCAACATAATGCTATAACAAGACTAATAACAACAATAAGAAATAGTAAAATAATAATAATCGTATCACACCATAATAATGTCATCGTTTAAAGACCAACCACGTAACAATGTAATGATAATGATAATCGTATACCCCACCTCCTTCAGCAGGCAGTCCAAGGCTTTCCTCGCTGAAGTGGCTGCCAGCAATGTGCACCTCAGTGCAATGGAACAACTTCGAACTTCCCAGAACTTCCTCCCCGTCCGGGTGCGCAAGGCATCTGCAAGGACATTTCATTATATTTCTGCGAGAAGCGCGCTGTCTGTTAGAATCGCCTCTGTGAAGCAGGACCTGCTGAGCCCCCACTTCCAAACACCAACACAGCTGTGATCTGTCAGTATGCCACCTTTCTACCGGGGGACAATGCCAGCAGCACGGACTGGTACGAGGAGACCACTAAGCCTCAGCCAGTTGAAAGAAGTGTACAGGGAGCCCTCAAAACTCTGACTCAAAACAACAGGAGGCCACGCCCTGACTTAAACCAGCCCCACTATCCTCAGACATTCAGAGCTTTATCATCATTCGTTGAATCGTCTAAAAAAGCCCCAAAAACCCCGTGTGAATGGAGTGGGATTGCTCTCCTTGGTCCACCAGATGTAATAAGGCCAGAGAAGGGCCCAAAGCAGACTAGCGGCCCCCGCCGTCACTTTGGCCACACCGTGGCAGCTGCTGCTGTAGCCGCCCGATGCCCTGCAGGCGTCGCATGCCTCTGCCGTTTTGTCATCCCGAGCCCATAGAACAAGCGGAGCGGCAACCTGTAAAGAGCAGACCTCCTGTACCCATTTTTGAGGAAGATCTGGGGCCGAGACACTTCTCTAAACGCCCAGCTACTACTTCAGGTCGGAGGCGGGCTGGGGACTCAGGGGTTTGAGGTTCTCGCCTGATTCGCGGGCATCCAGGGGCGCGTCTGCCAGGACCTCGCCAACAGTCCCTGTTGTTACAGAAAGGTGTGTAGGTGTGTGTGTGTGTGTGAGAGAGTCCGGAGGCGCACCCCCTCATCAAAGCAGCCAAATGCCAGCGCCAGCACCTGGCTTCTTCAAACCCTCTAATTCTGCACCTACTGGTGCTTAGTAGGGGGGTCCCTATAAAATCCGCTACACGGGAATATCAAGTGACCTAATTCCCTAGTAAGATTCGGCTTTCACACTCGCACAAGGCAGCATAGAATTTATTTTAGGGGTTTAGGGTTTCGTCGCTCACACCAGCTTTCAAATTTCTGCATCCAGGATGCATAGCAACCCCTTTTGCATCCACAAAATCTTGTTGTATACGAAGGTTTGGGATTGCAGGCGTGGCACCACGCGTGCAGAACGCGCCATCTCGCCAGCGAACATCTCCAGACGCCACCACGCCATCGCAACCCTCACGGGAACTGCATAGCTCCCCTTCGTTTAGGGCCAGTTTAGGGCCCAGATGTGCCAACACTTCTCGACACCCGCAACTGTTGCAATTTGTGAGAGCAGAAGACAGAAGGTGCGAAAGTCTCCCAAAACAGGGTGGCAGCATGCAACCGTGAGAAGCCGCTTACAGGCTGCCTTGCGTCCGCCGCGCCGGTGTTCGGCGATGCAGCGCATAGTTTCAGCAAAACATCGCGCGCTTGCCCTCGATGGCCTTCACGACTGAGACAAACACCTACTGCATCCATACTGCATCCTTTTGCAATGCTTCCAGTCCGAACTGTACAGGAAAGCTGCACTGTAGCACATACGCAGAGTTCAGGAGAAAGGCGCCTGACCACAACAAGCATTCAAAACCAAATCAACTTTCTCTCGGTGAGTGTGGGGCTCTATATAGAGCCCCGAGTTTCGGGCCGGGGTTCAGGCTTGCAGTTTAGGGTCCGTGCGAGGGAACCGGGGTGGAAAGTTGCTGGCTCTCCTGATTCGCAAAACTGATACTTCGGCTCACAACCTCGAACCTAAACCAGGCTTTACCACCTCTGTCCGCCTCTGCGCACTCGCTACCTGTCTCTCGCTGCGCAGCCTTGCTCCCAAAGCGCATGAGCGTAGGCGAAGAATAGCCTCCGTGCAGTGAACCGGGGCTTCTTGTTGAATTGAACTGGCGAAGAATGTGGGATGTTCTCCCCTTCTGCTAACAGTCTTTCGGGATTCTAGTACCCCTCTATTACAACCCCGATTAGGGACTGTTGGTATAAGGGGGAACATCCCAACGAATGATCATATTTGTGTTTGAACACGCCCCACACACGTTCAAGCTGCCCCCAAAAGGGCCAACACTGCCACGGCAGCCAAAGACAAGATGCTCCACGCCCAAGCGTGGCCTCGGATCCTCTGATGCTCGCAACACTCGGCGTGGCAGCTTCACTGCCTCCGTAGGATGATCTAAGGGATACGACTGTACAATGGAGCTGTCAAGGGGTCCGGAAAAAAGAGTCTGAGTTCAACTGCGCATGCCAAAGCAATTGACAGGGAAGATGCCTACATGGCCAACAGGCGCCAAAAGATCCAACAACGACGATGCCCAAAAAAAACCCACCAAGCTTTCGTCCACACACGAGCCAAGCCTTGAATGCGCTTGCCCACATGATGGAACCATATCCCCTAAACCCTTTTTTGACCCCCCCTAAACCCTAAACCCTAAACCTCTTGTTAGAGCTTCCGTAGCTCCCATGTGGAACCTCGCCCTCGTCGCCGGCCAGGCTTCGCAAGGCCGGCAGCAGGACCTTCATCCAAGCTGAGGGCTCCGAAGGCTTTAGGGTAAGCATGGAAAGGTACCCTGAGACCCTGAACATTCTACTTAGCCAAACTCTACTTGG